TGGGGGAGGCAGGCACGTCTGCAGGGGACAGCCCAGGGACGAGGCCAGGCCTGGTGGCCACTCCCGGGAGTGGGAAACGGGACTCAGAGGGCGGGGAGTGTCTCTGACTGGACGGGACGAGCAGGGGGCGCTGCCCGGGGGAGGAGGCAGTGGAGACTGGGACGCTCCTCCGGCCGCTCGTTCTCTGCGTGTTGGGTACAGCGGAGCCCACCAGGCCTGTCCAGCTCGTCACAGACAGACAGCACCGTGGGGGGATCCGCTCTGGGAAGGGACAGCGTGGGTGTGCGGGTGTGTGAGGTGGGGGGACAGTGGAGGCCAGGTCCCACGCCCGAGGCCCCGCACTGGTCCGAGCTCTTCCTGTGAACCACGGGCGTGGGCGGGGCCCCAGGGAAGCTAAGGGGGAGCCAGTTACGGAAATCAGATGCCTAGAAATAGGGGGCAGTTTTACTGCCGTCTGAGAATTCTCTACAGTGAGAGTTTTTGTAAAGCGTATTTCCTGTAAAATCTATGTTCTCTTTAAAATCTACACACTGGCCAAAAATGTGGAAGCAGGCCACAGGCGTCTGAGGGCAAGGGGACATGGGTCCCTCCTGTGCCCGCCTCCCTCCCGGAGGCCGGGGCGCTGTGAGTCTCCCAGCAGGCACCGCCTGCGCCAGTGTGCACACACATGTGCGTGCGCACACACGTGTATGCGTTCTCAGTAAAGCGAGCTGGTGCTCTCCGTGTTCAGGAGCGGCCCCACGTTCTCCCTCCAGCCCCTTTTCCGTCTGGCTTCCTACGGCTTCCTGCAAGTCTTGCCCAGAGTTAGGTGGGGCCAGAAGAGCTGCTGCTGAGGACAGTAAGTGACAAGCAGGACAGGCCACCGGTGCCAGCGGCTGGCTGTTTCGCAATGATTCCCCAGGCTCCTACTGCCTTGCAGAGGCAGCAGGCGGGGACGGGGCCCCACGGTCCAACGGCTCCGGAGCTAAGAAGCCGAAGGGCACAGCAGCGGCGGGAGTGGAGCGGCCACGGCTCTAGGTAACAGTGACGGGGGTGGGCCGGGGCGGGGGCGAGTGTTTGCGCGTCGTGGCCCCAGAGGCGCAGAATTATCTTTGGAGTTTGACCAACGTCATTTCACATCCCGGTGGCCTTCCTAGGCACAAAACAATAGGTCGGAACTGCCTAGAAAGTTCTGGCACAAGCGCCACTTCTGCCCCTTGTCCGGGTGGCGTGGAGTGGCTGCCCTGGGCTGATCTCCACCTTCCTCAGCTGCCAGTGCCCCCACTGCGGGCCCCCCTCAAGCCCCACTGCCAATCTCTGCTGAGAGAGCCCGCCAGGCCGGTGCCCCTGCAGCGGGGCGGCCGCTGGACTGGCCAGGTGCTCCTCCCGCCCCCTGCGGAGATTCGAGGCTGTGACCCGCAGGGAACCGCCCTCCCCGCGCTTTCCACCGAGCACCTGCTTTACTGCGGGGACAGCGGGCCTCCCACCCTTTGATCACTGCTGACTCTGCATCTCCTCCACCGGAACCAGCGTCCACAAGGACGGGCCCCGCCCGGACTGACTCCCAGGGCAGGCGGCCCCTGCCTGCAGCTGTGGGCGACTGTGGGAATCGGTTCCACACGGGAGCCGGCAGAAGGCTCACAGGAAAGGGAGAAGGGACGGCGTTTGGAGGACGAAGTCCAGGGCGCGTGTGCACCTGTGTGTGCATGTTTTACACACGCATGCGCAAGTGTGCCCTAAACCGGGGCCTGCGCCATCCCTCTGAGAGCAGTGGTGAGGGAAGGTTTCCCTGCTCCGTCTCACTCCACGCTGCAGGTGAGGGGCACGTGGGCGACGGCAGCTGCCGTGGGTCAGGGTCCCGAGGATGCCACGGGTGATGGGGCCGCAGGGTCAGGCGGCTCCGATGCCCCACAGAGAGAGGGGCACGGCGGGCGGGAGGGCAGGGAAGGCCCTGGCTCGCCGAGGCTCGGGGGCTGCAGGATGTGCGAGGGAGCAGGGCAAGAGCTGGGCCCTGCTGAGGGGAGTGTGGTCCTGGGGAGGGTCTCCGTCCACCAGGCCCTCGGAGCCCCCTTCGTCCCGCCGGCTGCGGTGCAGCGGAGAGAGGACTGGGTGGGCCCCGAGGAAATGCCCCTGGACTCCGAGGGCCTGCTCACAGTCACAGCCTCCGGCTCAGCAAGGGGCCAGTGGACTTGCTGGCCACCCCTTGGCAGCACCCGCTTGGGGGCCTTGCCGAGAGCAAACGCCGTCTCCGGCCAGCGCTGTGCCGAGGCGCGAGCACACTTCCTCCCACAGCCAGGGACGCCTGCCTCGGGCAGGATTCGCTCCGTCCCCTTCCTATACGGTTTCATCCTGGCGAGCCTGGAAGTGTATGCTTTCCTTTAAAAGAGAAAACCATCGATTGCCCTTCCCTTATATTAGAGCAGTTTTTCTCTTCTCACCGAAGAGCTGACGGATTTAAAATGTGATCCTGCATCACTCAAGTCCCCAGGCTTTGGTGACCAATGTGGTAAGAGGACTGTGACAAGACAGTGACACCTAGTGGCCGGGAACGTGCCCGCTTGGTCATGTCTGGGGTCCCCTCAGCAGGGTCCTCCCTGCTACGGGCCACCATGTCTTTCTCTTGAACATCAACGGGTGATCCGGAGAATTCAGGCAGTTCTGCGAAGTCATCTGTCTTCCTCAGAGTGACACAGGACCAATGTCAACTTTAAGGCATGAAAGGACGTCAGTATCTTCTGAGTCCTTTTTACCTTCGTCTGTTCGGCCATTTGAGGTGTGCCCTTGCTGATGAGGCTGAAACAGTAGAAAGGTCATACATGTAACAGGAGGCCTGTCCGGAGAAAGTCCAGCCAGTGTTATACAATGAGAACAGTTTGAGTGACATCGATGTAACCTGGCAGCGGAGGAGCGTGGACTGGAAGGCACATGTGTGAACACTGACGACTTCACTGCGCTAGGCAGTGGGGGCGGTAGATGCTGCTGAGTGAGCGTGTGTGCTGTGTGGCCGTCACATTCAAAATGACTGAGCGAGTGGGGCAGTGAATCTGCGTTCAGTTTTGTGTTCAGCTTGAACGTTCCTCTGTGGGAAATGTTCGGTGATTCAGAAGGCTTTCGGGGATGATACAATGAGTGCATCACAAATACAAGTGTGGCACAAACACTGCAAAGACGGTCGAGAACCTGTTGGCAGTGATCCCCGTTCTGGAAGGCCTGCAGCAAGCAGAACCCTTGGGACTGTGGACCGTGTGCGGGCTGCAGCCAGCAGAGGAGGGTGACTGGCAGTGTGAGGACTGCAGGCTGAGCTGGGATTCCAAATACTACTGGCTTTTCCCAGAACTAACATCACCTCTGAAAGGGAAGAGATTTCAGACCACCGATGAGACTCAGGACAATATAACGGGGCAGGTGATGGTGACTGGGAGAACTGTGTGAGGTCCCAAGGTGCCTACTTTGAAGGGGACTGAGGGGTCATTGTCCTGTGCACAGTGTTTCTGGTATCTTGTATCTTCCTCAGTGAATGGCTCTATTTTTCATAGCCTGTGGCTGGATACGTTCTGGACAGGCGTGTGCGCGCATGTGTGTGTGTGTGTGTGTGTGTGTGTGTGTGTGGCCACACCTCGGTGCTCCTCAGTTTCAGAACTTGTCACGAGTTCCAGAACAAATTCAGGATGAGAACCGAGGTACCGCTCCGTATACATGTATAAAAGAATTCCACTCAGCCGTGAAAAACAGCAAAACCTTGCCATCTGCGAGAGAAAGACAAATGCCGTGGGCCCGCATTTGTATGTGGGACCTAACGAGAGACATAAACGAACACACAAAATCGAACAGACTCTAGAGACTGGGAACGCAGTGACGTTTGCCAACGGGGCGGGGGCAGGGGACAGGAGAGGGAAACTTAAAAAAAACACTTTCGAACAAATGGAACAGAAAACCCTGCTAAGCTGGGGGAAGCAGGAGAGTGAAAGAGCCACGAAGACCCATCCTCACTGGAAGGACAGGGAGGGCGGGGACGGAGGGGACCCCTCGCACAGCATGGGGCCCCGCAGGAGACGCCGGCAGACTGTGGACGGGGGCACCCGGGGCGGTGCGGCTCCTCGGGGCACAGCCCGGCTTGCTGGTCCCAACCAGAGAGAGAGACCTGGCTTCACGGAACTTCAGCGACGATCTGCCACCAAGTTTTCCAACAGTTGGATGGAACAGATCACTTCGCTCATTAGCTGTGAGATATGGATTAGGTTTCTGAAACTCTGGGTTGGGGTCTACCAATGTGGCAGCCACCAGGCACGTGCAGGTACTCAGACTGGAACAGTAATGGATGACAATTGAATGCAATTATGAATTCAGGTCCGCAGTGGCCCTAGCCTCGTTTCAAGGGCTGCTCACCTCCTTGGGCTCAAGGCCGCCCACGGGCAGTGCCCGGCCTGGCCTGCAGCGTCTCCAAGCCCCTCCACGGTCGGTGCCCCGTCTGGGAGTGCGGCTCAGTGTCCTGCTGCGGGACAACAGCGGGCAGCGCGTGTGAGGAGCGTGTCCAGTTGCAGAGCCTGCGGACCTGCGTGGGTGTCCAGTAATCGCAGGGGTGCAGCCATGCTGCCTCTGAGCTCTGACAGTCGGGACGATGCTTTCAGGGGACCTGTACGTCCTCGGGCCATGTGTGCGCTGCACTGTCCAGGGCCGAGGTTTGCTTCCCCTCTGCACCGTCGATGACCTCTCTTGCGGTGGCAGGCACCGTGACATGTGTGCAATGGTGCGTGTGGGTGACATCATGTGATGTGTGACTAACTTCGTTCTGGGGCACGAAGTCGTCGCTGCAGTGGAGGGACCGTATCCGGCAGAAGTTAGCGGGGAGAGTGTGAGGACACGCAGGCTGAGAGGCCCCGGCTCTGGCTCTGCTGGAAGGCAGTGGCCGGGGACCGCAGCGGGGGCAGACAGGTGACCCTGGTGCTCCGCGGTGCCTGTCATTACCGAGTCCTTAACTCCCGAAACCTCGTGACTGACCCTCTGCCCCACGTGCAGAGTGCGGCTGCGGCGGCGGGGTGCAGACCGATTCCCGTGCCCGCCGCGCCTGTTCGGGTCCGCGGAGGGCCGGCGCCAGCGGCCGGCAGGATGGACCGCAGCCTGAGGAATGTGCTCCTGGTCTCCCTGGGGTTCCTGCTCCTCTTCACGGCCTACGGGGGGCTGCAGAGCCTGCAGGTATGTACCTGGTCCGCACCCCGTCTCGGCCTCCAGGGGTCCCGCGGCCACGAGCCCGGGGCAGGTGGGTTTTCGAACTGGGCAACTCAGCCGGAACCTGGCAGAGCGGCGGCGGTATGGACATATGGTCCCCTGGGCAGGCATCTGGCCCAGCCCGGCGTGTTTGCGCAACGAGGGCGTGTGTCTGACCCTTGGACTGGGAGGTTGGGGCTGGTTGGGAGGCCCCCTGCCTCCAGTCGGGTTAAAGGAGACTGGAGCAGAATCGCCGGGTGTCCTGTGGCTTTGCGGTTGGGGGAGGAGTGGGGAGGGCTCAGACGCACCCGACGGTGCAGATTCTGGGGCTGCCTTGCGCAAAGCTGTAAATGCGGGCACACCCATGTCCGCCTGCCCCTTGCGGCTTCGCCCTGCTCAGGCCTCCCTAAGGGCTGGGGGCCTGTGTGCCTGGGGTGACTGCGCTGTCCCCGCCCCAGGCAGCCATGTCTTAGGCTCGTCTTTGAGACCCGGAAGTGCAGGAACCCCAGGAGAGGCCCCTGGGGACATTCACTCCCCCACAGTTGTGCCCTGTGGCCTCAGGGCCCCCTTGTAAGGGAGCGTTTTCAGAGTTTCTGCTTGACACACTCATGGGATCTCGTGTGGCTGTCAGTGGGGGTCACAGAGCAGCCCCCTCATCCACTGCCAGGTGCAAGAAGTGAGCCAGAGAAGCCCCTCGGGCCGGGACCAGCGGTGCAGGGCCGGGAAGGCTCGGGTTGTCTGTCCTCACCGCTGGCAGCAAACCCTCTGGACTTGGGGGCTCAGCCTCGAACCCCCAGGGGCGCGTTTCCCCTGGGAACCCCTGGCTGGTCTTCTTTCTAATATGGCTCAGAGAAGACGGAATTGCAGCCGACAGCGAGGCTGGACACTGGCCCACAGGGCGGCAGCTGCGTTCCTGCCCGGCCGGTTCACGGCTTTTGTAGACACGGCCCCCAGGATCCTGGGCCCTGTTGTGAAACGTTAGGGCGCTCGGCACACCCTCCTGTTGTGTGAAGGGGCCACGCTGAGAGGAGTGGGCATTTTCTGACGGACTCGGCGAGGCTGGGCAGCCCCACGAGAGCCCCCCACTAGGGAAACCCTGGGGGTCAGCTGCCCTGGGTGCAGGCCTTCCCTACAGGGTCGGAGCCCTCAGCCGCTCAGCAGCACGATGCCAAGTGACCCCCACACGCGGACGCCGGAGGAGGGAGGGACAAGTGCGGAGAGCCGTGCAGGCTCGGGTGCGGGGCTCTCAGGCTGTGACTACGGCCCAGCTCAGGGGGCGGCTCCCTCGGGTCAGGGTGACAGTGGCTGGAGGACAGCAGTGCAGCCCGGAGGCAGCAACACGCCAGCACCGAGTCCCGCAGCCGGCCGGACTCCAGGGGCGAGAAGCGCCCGTCTTGGGCCTGGTCCCCTCCGCCTTGGGCGACAGGAGGTGTTAGAGGACTTCTGACTCGGCTTGGAGCCGCCTGCCAACCCACTCGCCCCTCCGCCTGTGCCGGGACCTGTGTCCCCCCCGACCCGGACTGCAGAGGCGCGACCGACCCGGGCGACCTTCTCCGTCCACCAGGACCGGCTTAAGCAAAATAACCTGGTTGACATGGACAGAAGTGGCTGCACCTGCCACCGAGAACACTCCCGTCTGTCACTCCCTCTGTCTGGCTTTATCCTCGGGCCCCAAAGTGGAGGCCAAGACGGCCGTGAGCCTCGCAGGGTCCCAGACCTGGCCATGAGCCCGTCCGCGACCCGTGCGCCTCTCCACACCTTCCTGCCGTGGCGGCCACTGCTACTGACTCCCATCCGTCACTGGGACCCCCATGGGGACACCGCTTCCTTCTCCCCTTCCCTGTGCCCTGGGTGCCAGTCCCGCCGAGGGGTGCCACCTCCTGCTCCGCGCTCTCTCCACGCTCCCCTTGAGCAGAACAGTCGGGTCCATTTCCCCAGGGTCCGGTTGGGCAGCTCGCCGGCCTCACCTGCCCGCGGTCCAGTGTCCTGTGCTCTGTCGCCTCACGTCGGGGCCTGGGCACACACATCCGTGCAGGTCCCCTGGTCGGCACCTCCCCCACTTCCCCAGAGAAGGTGAGCCTGGTCACACAGCGTGACACGGAGCTTCACGTGTGTCCCTCACACAGGGGGCCTGAACACGCTGTCCGCCCCGGCAGCCTCCACTGCCCTGGCATGACGGCAGGGGGCTCGGAGAGCCAGGCCCGCCTGCCTTCCCTCCCGGTCCCGGCCGGCCGCAGCTGGGGGCCCAGGGCTGCGGGCGGGCCACTGAGCGGGCCCTCCCCCCGCAGAGCAGCCTGTACGGCGAGCAGGGCCTGGGCGTGGCGGTGCTCAGCACCCTCTACGGCGCCATGCTGCTGTCCTCCATGTTCCTGCCGCCTCTGCTCATCCGGATGCTGGGCTGCAAGTGGACCATCGTCTCCGCCATGAGCTGCTATGTGACCTTCTCCCTGGGCAACTTCTACGCCAGCTGGTACGCCCCCCGCGGTGCCCCGCGCCAGGCTCCTCCTCGGTGGTGGCACATGCTCAGCCCTCGCCCAGCACTGCCCGCTGCTCGGCCACCCAAAACCCCTGGGCTCCACACGGGACCGCGGTGTGGCTCTGTGCCCTCTGCTGTCCCCTCTCCTCCCGCTGACGCCCGGGCCAACCTCTCCTCAAGACTGGGTGGCCTCCCTCTTGGTGACCAGGGGCATTTATGGCCCCAGGGACAACGGCCCCAGGGTGGGTTCAGGGAGACTTAGCCGAGGACCCTACCTGCCCCCTTAGTGCAGACGGTGGGCGTGCCCGACCTGAGCTTCCCCTGCGCCCTGGAGGAGGAGGACCTCGGGGACCAAGCTCTAAGCCCACGGGCCACTGGCCCTGTGCCCAGGCCCTCCTTTGAGGGACACCACTCGTCATCAGGATGCAGGGTTGTGACGGCCCCCAGTCCCCTTTCCTGGTTGCCATGGGGTTGTCGCGCAGAAGCCTCCCTGAGGAGGTGACACAGACCGGCCCCCCCACCGCCGTTACCAGCAAAGCTGAGACACATACCCAGGTCCACCCCCCTGGCCTGTGACCCCCCACATGGCCTTTGCCTTCAGACGGAGGCTGCCACCAGCTCTGCCTTTCACTCTTGGCAGTGACCCTGAACCAGACGCGGCCCGAGACTGGGCTCATCTTCCCGAGTCTAATGGTGGTCGGGGGAGATGCGCCCCTCCCTCTAACCCGTCCGTGAACGTAACGAGGCTTCCAGCAGGCCCGGCTCCAGGTTTCCTCCTCCCCCAGGAGAGGGCAGAGTGGAGGGGTCAGCGGCCCCTTCCATTTCCCCCCTGCCCGGCAGGTACACCTTGGTGCCCACCTCCATCCTGCTGGGCCTCGGGGCAGCGCCGCTGTGGTCCGCGCAGGGCACCTACCTCACGACCGTGGGGAACGCCTACGCGGAGAAGGCGGGACAAATGGGCAAAGACGTGGTGAACCGGTATTTCGGCATCTTCTTCCTCGTGTTCCAGTCGTCCGGCGTGTGGGGCAACCTCATCTCCTCGCTGGTGTTCAGCCAGACACCCACGCAAGGTAGAAGGAGAAGGTGCGGGGAGGACCCCCACGTCGGTCCCGCGGGGCCCTGAGGACCTGGTGCTCGGTCTGCCTGAGCCTCCGCGTCACCTGGCTCCTGGCTGTCCCCCCGGACGGGGGTGGTGTGGGTGGGCCAGAGGGTCCCCTCCTGGGGGAACTGACTCCGTGGGGTCAGCACCGTCCTCTCGGATTGTGTGAGCACAGCTTCGACCGGCTCACTTTCCCACTGAATTGACCTGCTGACCAGTGTTTTTGTTTTGTTCGCGTTTTCTTTTTTTAATGGGGTCTTAATGTTGTATGTACAGGAGCCGTTGTCAAAGGGAATGTGGACACAGTGCAGACTTTTTTATCCTCACCCAAGAACATGCTTACTGATTTTAGGGAGAGGAGAAGGGGGAGAGAGGAGGGAACATCCATGTGAGAGAGAAACATTGACCCGCTGTCTCTTGTACATGCCCCGACTGGGGACCAAACTCACAACCCAGACATGTGACTTGACTGGGAATTGAACCTGCAACCTTTTGGTTTACTGGACAATGTCCAACCCACTGAGCCACACCGGCCAGAGCCACTGACCAGTGTTTTGAAGGTCACACCCAAGACCATTCATTCCTTGACTGATCTGAGCATTTGACGACAGATATTCAAAGGCACCTGGCCCAGACCTGGCTGCAAAGCGTGTGCCCTTTGGTGTCTGAGAGTGTCAACCAGGGCCGAGGACGTGAGTCTCCTCAATTCTTGCAGGAAACCTTTGGCAGAGAGGGGAGTCCTAACCCCCCGACTGTCCCAGGACAATCTCTAGCTCCTACTCTTGGTCCTCCCGTCCCCCCGTCTCCCGTAGAAAGCCCCACCTTTGGGAAACTCTGCAATCAAGACCCCTCTTCCCTGTCTTCTCCTGCAGTGTGAGAGTGTGAATCCTATTCTTTTCTTGGATAAGGAGGCCAACGCTCGGAAAAGCCGAGTGTGGAGATGAGGGAGAAGCGCCCTGCCCACGGCCCACGGTCCTGGGGCTTCGAGTCCGAGCGGGAACCAAGGCACGCCCACATGGATTCTCACAGGCATTCTTTCTTCCTGATTAATTTAAAGAGTTTAATTTTTTATGTCAGGAAAGCGATTTAACGGGTAACAAACATGTGACGCCTGTGTCTGGACTGTTTTGAAACGGAGTGTCTGGGCCTGTGCCCCAGGGGACGCGTTCTGAGACCCTTGGTCAAACAAGCCGCGTCCCGTGACCTTGGACCACCTGACGCCGGGCTTGGGGGTTCTGCACACTCCTCTTCCCTGGGCCCTTCTGTTCCCCATGTCCGCAGGCCCATCAAGTCACCCGTGTCCTCACACCGCCTGTTCCCCACCCCCGACAGGCCCGGTCTCTGAGGAGCAGCTCGCGTCCTGCGGGGCCCGGGACTGCCTGATGGCCACGGCACCCGGCAACAGCACCCAGCGCCCCTCCCAGTCGCTCATCTACACCCTGCTGGGCATCTACACAGGTGCGTGCTCCGCGGCGCCGGCCAAGTGCTGCGGTGGGCAGGGCCTCGCTGTGTCCCGTGCTGGAGGCGCCCTGTGTGTCCTGCTGGACCAGGGAATTGGGCACCACTGACCCACGGCCACAGCCTCCCAGGAGGATGGAAGCCTCGGTGCGGGCCAACCCCGTAGCCGTTCACCGATGTGTCCGTGTGAGTGTTAGTTAAGTTACAAAGACTGTCTCTAAGTCACATCAGCCACCTCCTAGTGCTCGGTAGCCTCTCCGGGCTACAGCGCCCCGAGTGAACAGTTCATGGTGGACCAGGCGTTGGAGGAGGGGCTGCTTGCGTTTCAGCCACATCCAACGACCTAGAAACGCAAAGTCCCTGTGCAGGGTCACCTTTTTCTGTGGCTGTCCTTGAGGGGCCGGAGTGGGGCACCCTCTCTCCTGCACCCTCACCCTTACCAGTGCGGGCTCAGGGCTGCCCACGGGGCCGCCGAGGGCACAGACACTGACCCCACGGAAAAGATGGGGCCCCAAGGGGGGTTGTCAGAACAAGCCTTGTCCTCGGGGGCTCTCTCAGTGGAACACATCTGTGCTGATGGTTTTCTAAGTGACTTCGCTCCTGCGAGGGGGCACCTTGCAAGTTTTGTTTGTTTCTGGTTAGCATCTTGGAGGCATTTAATCTATTGTTGGGTCATTCTCAAATTTGAAATTCATAAAGGTCGTGGAAGGCTCTTAACGAGCAAGGAACTGGTGTGTGTGGATTGGTGGGACGGGCCCAGGCTTCCCCTGATGGGGGTGGGGTCACAGGGTCTCCACGGAGCCATGGTCGGCAGCCACCACTACAAAGCTCTCTTTCAAAGGTCACTTCTGCACCACAGTCCTCAGCCACTTTACGGGAATGAAGCGGAGTGAGCCCTGGTGGATGCTCTCTCTGCTCCGGAACCCAGGGAGTTGGGGCTCACCCGCTGTCAGCTCCGAGCCCGGCAGTGAGGCAGATACGTGGCCACCCAGCCGGACTTTGATGGAAGTGTTTTGCACGGAGTTCCCCACTGATGTGTAGCTGCGGTTCTGTGTGCGGTTGGGCTCTGGGGCTGCGTTGGCTGGGCGGCCGTCCCCCCTCGCTGGGTAGGAGGGGAGGAGGGGAGCCAGGAGGGCACTGGAGGCAGAGGCTGAACCAGGGGCCTGTGGCAGGAGGACACGTGTCTCGGAGATGAGCCGGGGGCCCTCGGGATGGCCTCAGGTCCCCGCTGCACCGCGGCTGGGCTGTCTTCCCCGCAGCAGGTGCCAGACAAGGTGGACACGGACCACCACGCCGTGTTCCAGTGAGGGTTTGTGTGCAGAAGCAGCGCGGGGCAGGACCCGGTCCCCAGACTGCAGTTTGCTGGCCATGTGTGACCCCGAGGAGCAGCTCAGGCCACGGACACAGGCATAGTCTGCGTCTCCAGTCCCCTTTGCACCCCCTGGCAGCAGCCAGGCCTATCCCTGGTTCCGAGAAGCTGGCACCCAGGGGAGTCAAAGTCCAAAGGTCACGTGAAAGGGAGACGTGTCTCCTGTGCCCGGGCTCCTGGCTTCCCTGCAGGAAGAGCCTCGTCAGTCCCCTGAAGCAAAGCTGCACTGCCATAAAGACAGAAAAAGGAGAAAAGCGGACGAAAGGCAGAGACCACCGTCCCCCTGGAGCGATTTCCAGGGCTGCGAGCTCTGTCCCTCCCCAAGTCCCTTCAGAACGCAGGGCGCTACTTGGGCAACACCAGCAATTTCTCAACCCTGCACATCGAGACGGTTCCGGGTCCAGGGCAGCCTGGATGCGCCCTCCCTAGTGAGCTGGGGCTCCGTGACCTGCCTCTTATGGGCCCTGCATGGCGCTGGCCAGTGCAGGGGTCAGCCTCCCGCTGAACGCTCAGGCCCCACAGGGAGATGGCGGGGAAGGACCGTGGACACACCTTTCCCACACGACCGAGCATCGAGGCTGGTCTGGGAGTGTGCTTCACAGGTGACAGGCCCGGGGTGCCCGGGCCCGGACCGGGGGACCCGCTGCCTGGTGGTTTAAGGGCACCGGCTCTGCGGGCTGCCGCACAGTGTTCCGTGCGCCGTGTTACATGGTGGAGTCTCACCATGAACAGGGGCAAAGGAGCTATGTTTCCAGAAAGGGAGCTTCGAAGTAGGTTAATGCTCCTCCGGGTGGGGCTGTGCTGGCAGCAGTGTGGGGGGGGGGGTGAGAGGGGGTGAGGGCTGGCGCCCCGTTCCTGCAAACAGCTCGGACTGGGCTGCCTGCCGGCCTCGGGTGGTCTCGGTGAGGCCCAGCGGCTCGCTGGCGCGGGCTGACGGAAGCTCCCAGCGGCTCTCAGAGACGGGAGAGATGGATGGAGTTGGCGAGGCAAAGTAGAGAGAGGAAGTGGCCCAGGTCACCTTTAAAGAGGACAGAGGTCCACTGTGTTTGAGGTGGGAGGGAGCCGGGATGAGAATCAGGAGGAGGGACGACTGTCACTGCACTCGAGTTCGCCCGCGGTCCCCAGGCACTCACTGCCAGGCAGAGACACGGAGCCACCGTCCCCTTGGGCTGGGGATGAGAGGTGTGCATGCGGAGAACCAGTCAGACTGAAGGAACCGAGTCCTGAGTCCAAAGAGGGGGCAGCATCTGTGACAGTGACGGCCCCCGCAGGACAGAGAGACTCTGCTGTCACTCTGTGATTATTTATGACCTTCAGGGGACACTTATGTGTCCCCTGACGGAGGACATAAGTGACTGTCTTTACCTCTCTTTCCGTGGAAAGCCAATTCATACGGTTCAACGTACAAATATTGAGAAAGGGACAAGTACCCCCTCGCCACCAGGTGCCAGGGCCCACGGGCAGCCACGCTGTCCTCCGTTCTCGGGCGGTGCATGGGGCAGCCAGCCAGTGCGCCTCAGGCCCCCCCTCGCCACCGCAAGCGAACGCAGCCTGGAGACCAGCCCTGAGCCTGGCCTCTGCTCTTGGCCCTTCCTCCTGGGAACGCTCCCATCGTCGCTCCCACGGAGCTTCCTGTCTGTCCCCAGATGCCTGCCGCCCCGGGGCAGGGGAAGCAGCACGGCGGGCGTGCACGGACCTCCAAATCGGGGTGGAAGGAGCAGGAAGCAGAGGGTGGCTGCAGACAGATGGATGGACGACCCCGAGGGGGAGACTGGTTATTGGTCTGGGACCAGGACGGGACTGGGGGCGGGGGGGGGGTCTCCCCCAGGCTTCTTGCTTCCTGCCACCGGGGACCATGCTGCCTACAGTGGTGGGGGCGTAGTGAGAGCCGAGGGTCACGGGTCAGTCACAGAACTGACGCGTGGACGACCACCGTGTGCAGGCTGAGTCTCGGCCCGGCCGGCCCGTGGGCTCGCCAGCAGCCAGAGTCTGAGGTTGGCCGTTGCCCCTGGAGGAGGAGAAGGGGACAGTGGAGCCTGTGTCTGGTGGCTCCTGTCCCCAGACAGCAGCCGCCCCCCCATGCTGTACTTCCAGGGAGCGGGGTCCTGGCGGTGCTGCTGGTGGCACTCCTCCTGGACCCCCTGAGAGACCCTCCACAGAGGACCGAAGGTGGGACACCCTCCATCTGGTCCACCTTGATGTCGACCTTCAGGCTCCTAAGAGACAGGCGCCTGCGCCTGCTGGTCCTGCTGCCGATGTACAGCGGGTTCGAGCAGGCCTTCCTGGCCGGGGACTACACGCGGGTAGGGCGTGCGGGCGACCCCAGGGGGTGGGGGAGGGGTGGGACCCGGGGGGCGGCTGCACAAGGGAGGACGATTAGATGCTGATTTAACTTACAGAGTGACACCCACCCCCACGAAGGGCACTTCCTTTTTTAGAGCACCTGTGGGTGGACGCACAGTCCGGCCCCCCCTCCTCAGCCCCCACCAGCTCGCCCCTCGCCCGCCCTCGCTCGAGTGGCTGGCCGAGCGGGAGCAGCCGCCCCGAGTCAGTGCAGACGCCTGTGCGCTGGCCCTCGGCTCTCACACACCCAGGTCTCCTTACCCGCATCCGTGCTGCTCCCTGCACGGGAGCTGGGCTAACAGAGGGTCCCGGCCGGTTCGGCAGGCCCGTGCGAGCGTGACCGGGTCCCTGCACACTCACCCACCCAGCTGCGCCCGTGCCCTTCCCTGGCACTCGGCCTCCAGGAGGCTCTGACTTGGCTCTGTGCCCGTCCTCAGTCCTACGCCACCTGCGCCCTGGGCATCCACTTTGTGGGCTACGTGATGATCTGCTTCTCGGCCACCAACTCGCTGTGCTCCGAGCTGTACGGGAAGGTGTCCCAGTACACGGGCAGGATCCCCCTCTACGTGTTCGGTAGGTGGGCACGTGGCCGGCTTCCAGCAGGAACCAGCCCTCGTGCACCTGGTGCTGCCAGGCTGGCCCCGTGGGTGGGCAGGGGAGGGGGCCCCTGGGCAGGGCTGCCCCTCTGTGGCCGGCCTGTAGGGGCGGGGGCTGCAGTGAGCCCGGGGGTTTGTGGGGCACAGAAAGACAGGCCCTGACCCGTCCTCTGGCTGTGGGTAAGGTGGGGAGCTGGGGACAGTTCCTGAGGGACGTGGCCTGCACTCACCTGGTGCAGAAAGGTGGATCTTTCAAAGCTGACTGACTCCACGCCAAGCACACGTCACCTTCTCTCTCTCTTGGGAAGGGAAGGAAGGACCAGAGACGCTGTGAGTAAAGAGAAACTGGGGTGTTAACAGACTGTTCCCCGGCCTCCCTCTCGGCCAAGGTGGGAAGGGTCTCGGACAACAGAGCTGACCAGGGCCAAGTGCTTTGCATATTTTTGTTGTGCCCTCACCTTCCCACTGTGGCACAGGCACTGCCCACCTGGCTGATGGGGAAATTGAGGAGGAGAAGTGAGGCGTCTGTCTCAAGGCCACAGGGCCTCAGGGGACCCAGTGTGCCCCTGCACCTCCCCAGTGGCCATCAGTTCCCAGAGTGGCCAGAGCCGTTGTGTGACTACATTCTGGCCACGGTGTCCACAGAAACCAGACCTGTCAGGACAAAGTCAGGAGCAGGGGGCCTGGGCAGTCCAGCCCACTGCCCCACCCACCCAGCTTCCACGGGGTGGGGGGACACTGCCCCCATCAGCCTGAGGAAGAAGCCCTCCTCCCCCAGCAGGCCTGAACCCTCATAATTTGGGGGCTCCTCCACCCAGGCAAGACGACGTTCTCCTCTGTAGCTCATGGCCCCCACTGTCCCCGCCTTGATGGTGGTCTGCGAGGCTGCAGGTGAGCCGAGTCGAGGTCAAACTCCGTGAAGGGCACATGCACCAGCCAGCACACAGGTGCTCCCGCGGAGCCCGGGCTGGAGTGTGTCAGGGAGACCCTGCTCACACCACGAAGCGGCGACAAGCCGCCTTCAGCACGCACAGCCAAGCCCCACCGGCTGCAGGCGCGGTCCTCACCCCGTGGTTCTCTCTCCCCGGACCACGCAGGCGCGGTCACCCAGCTGTCGTGCATCATCGCCCTGCTGCTGTGGAGACCGAGCCCCGACCAGCTGGCCGTGTTCTTCGTGTTTTCTGGCCTGTGGGGCGTGGCCGATGCCGTGTGGCAGACACAGAATAATGGTGAGTGACCTGCAGAGACAGCCGCTGCCCAGGCCCCCTCCCTTCCTTGGGGAACAGAGGGGGTGTCGGAGGGGACCAGGGGGGGTGAGGACCCAGGTGAAGCTGTGGTGAGGAGGCAGCTGGATTTGGGAAGCTCTGACCATCTGTTTGGGGCACCACACACACTGGAGGTCAACAGACACTTGTCACAGTTCTGGGTCGTCAAGGCTCTGGTAGGTTCCCTGTCTGGTGAGAGCTTGCCTCCCTGTTCACAGGCAGCCGGCCTCTCGCCAAGGCTGGTCAGTGAGGGCACGGGCTCGGCAGTCCTCTCCAGCAGGTACTGCCCTCTCCGCACACCCCGGAGCGCGGAGAAGCCATGTGCGGCCAGCGGTCGTGAGTGAGGAGCTGGAATCTGGCCCTGAGGTCCAGCTCCAGGCACGGCCTCAGCTGGCAGATTGTCTCTGACGTCCACCCGAGTGGACATCCACCCGAGTGTCGGGACTGGAGAGAGGCAGGCAGCTGTGGAGGGCTGGTGGGCCATCCTGGGATATCGGGGCTGCTGGCTGTGGTCAGGATGGTGGCTGGGAGCCTCGACCCTCGGCAGCCCCAGGAGCGGAGGGCTGTGAGACAGCAGGCTCGTTGTGGGCGAGCTCGTGGGACACGAGGCCACGTGGGATGGGCATCAGAGGGCCTGGCCCTGGGAGTCAGCAATGCCAGGTCCATGAGGAGTGTAGGAGGAAGTGGCCCCGGGGACTCAGCCCTTCAGCAAAGTTGGGGGGACAGGACAGAGGTCACTGTCACCCACGCTGGGCAGAGCATCAGGGACAGGTTGTGGGGGGAGCATGAGTGGCCAGAGCCCAGCGGGTCCTGTGCACCTTGAAACCGGGAGGTTCAGGCAGCCCCTGTGGGGGCTGGTTGTGGGGTCAGCACTACCCATGTGACTGGAGGGTCAGGAAGGCCTGCAGATGGCTGGCCAGTCCTATTCCCCATGAGATGGATGGGCTGCAGCTGAGAGGGCCTGGGACGGGGTGTGGGGGACACACATGAAAGACAGTGATTGAGGGGCTAGATTCGGGTGGCAGCTGAACACAAGGGGGATGAAGGTGACACTTTAGCCCAGAGTTCCCACCTCTGGCCCCAACACAGAGCTTGGTGAGGTGCCCCAGGGCTGCCTGCCAGGAGCTGGTCTTGGCCCGGGAGGGAGCCCCCTCCCCGCAGATGTCGTGTGTGGCCCTCAGCGTCTCACAAGCCACGTGTCCGGGGAGGGGGCCTGGCTGCTGCCTCTTGGTGAGAAGAGCTGGTGCACGTGACCCCCCAGGCCAGGGGGCATGGGTCTGCAGGGCGGCTCCTTCCACAGCACCTGGTCCTGCCAGCTCACACCAGCTGCACTCGGCCCCCTGAGCATCCCCGGCCTGCATCATGGGCTTCCAGGGTCTGGTTTCACCCGTGCTTCTGCAGACTCAGGGCCACAGGGGGCTTGCGTGAGGTTCTGAACCAGGGGACGCACGTGCTCAGCTTGGCACCCTCACCTGGTGTGTCTGGGTCAAGGTCAGTGCCTGGGAGGAAGGACAGGAACGCCTCACGGGGCCAGGCCCGCGATGTTGCCCTACAGCAGCAATGCGGCGCAGCGGAAAGAGAGACAGAAACTTGCTGCGGCTTCCACTGGCACCCGGTTGGTGGCCCTGGGGTGGCCGCTCCCCGTGGCAGCCTCCGCACCTTCCCTGACAGCTTCAGGAGAGAGTGGGCCGGCATCCTCCCAGGGGCCTGAGGACACCCGGTGTCTGAAGGAAGGCTGCACGTGCAGACTCACTCTCGCGTCCTTAAATGTCAGGTATCGCGTCTGCATGGAGGACACGGGCGTGGTGTTTCACCTGCTGGCGCCCTCCTCACTTCATGAAGTGACCATCCATCTAGTCGTCCACTTAGCCATTCAAGAATCCTCGCTTAGCCTCACACAGGACGGAGGTGGCCCAGGACTTGGGGAGTGCCCGGGCCACGGGGGGGGGGGGACAGGCGGGGCAGCTCCGCGCGTGGTATGGGAGGTGTTGGGGGGCCCTGCAGCCGCTGATGGGGGGTGTCGGGGAGAACAGAGAAGTCACCCGCGGGCGGTCAGTGCGGAGGCCTAGCTTGGCCTGGCCGGGACGCTGCGCACGGAGTCGCCAGTGCGGACACGTCACGAGCCCCACGTTCCTTGTGCATGGGGCGTCTCACTGCTGGGAAGTGTTGCCATTCTCCGCCCTAGAATCCACTGCATAAAATTCTGTTTTTTGAAGAGAAAGGTCCTGATCCTGCAGGGGAGGCCGGGCGGGGCGCCGGGGGAGCAGCCCCTCCGCCAGCAGCAGGTGGGAGACGCGGGGCCACCCTGCATTCACCGTCTCTCCCTTGCAGCCCTGTATGGAGTCCTCTTCGACAAGAACAAGGAGGCCGCCTTCGCCAACTACCGCCTCTGGGAGGCGCTGGGCTTCGTCGTGGCCTTCGGGTACAGCACCTTCCTGTGCGTCAGCGTCAAGCTCTACATCCTCCTGGGCGTCCTGTGCGCGAGCATGCTGGCCTACGGGGCCGTGGAGGTCCAGGAGGCCCGGAGCCGGGCCCCGCCCCTCGCGGCCGAAGCCCCGCCCGCGGAAGGCGGGGAGACGCAGACGAAGATGTGACGGCCGCCACTCCCTGCAGGGGGCGGGGCGCCGGCGGGGGCGGGGCGCCTCCGAGGCGGTGGCTGATTCTTCACCACCTTCTAAGCGAGAGGAGTCCATTGGAAAGGCATGATGTAGTTTTTTTTAATGTCGTTTTTTCCGATTCTCTCAAATGTGCAGCCCCCTCCTCATTTGCAGAGGTGAAGAATATACATGAAAAAAATCCGTTAATTTCAGGTGCAGAAGAAGAAAGTGTAGGGTTTGCTCAGCCCAGCGGAACTTGCTTGGGGGCACAGCACCAGCGGCCCAGACTCAGTTTTGTGGTCGCTGTTGTCCCCAGCCCGGAGCCTAGGTGAAGTGGCGCAGCCCAACTGCACGGTCCCACCAACCGACGTCCGCTCGTCGGCTGGCCAGCTGCCTCCGGGGCCGAGGGCACTGCAGCCAGGCTCGAGTGTGCGGGTTTGAACTTGCAGAGAGAGTGAGGGCCTCTAAATAAACGCAGTGCTGCCGCGAACCTGCCGCCTGGCCCTGAGCGTTGATTCTGAACACTCACCTGGGTGAAACAGCAAAGGTCTTCATCCCACAGGCGACTTTGGCACGTTGTAGGTCAAGGAGCGTCTTCCAAGCGGCCCCGCACACGGGACTGCAGGTGGACCGCGTGGGCTGGGCGGGGCTGTCCGTGAGTCCCGCCCACCTCGCAGCCACACGTGTGTTCACCCCAGTCTCGCACCTTCCTGCTGTCGAGAGGCTCGGAGAAGCCGGTCACGCCGCTGGCCGCTGGCCGTCTCCTTTCTGAGCACTTCTTCCTCTCCGCGTCGCTCTGCGCCCACACCCCCCAACCCCTACATGTACCCTCCAACCGACTGGTGCTCCCTGTGGGTTTCTCCCTCCCACTCTCAGCCCGTGAGGCCGCCTCCTCCCACTCCCCTTCACCTGCGCCCTCCTCCGCACTGCCCCTCCCTTGTCCGTGGTGTAGCCCAGCCTCCCCCTAGATTTCCACCTCCCTCCTCTGGGCCCCAGGCAAGGCCCACTCCCGTCCACACCCCTCAGTGTCTCCCATTTGCACGAGTCCAGCGCAGAGCACCTCCCGAGGGCCCCCTGTCCTCCAGACCTTCGCTCCCCTTTCCTCCGCCGTAAACGGCGCTGCCTGTGGACACCAGGACCTCAGGCTTCGGGGGTCACAGCAAGTGCTCCGTGATGCTGATTTCTGCACAAATGTCTCCCCCTAGCGGACCTGAAGCTCTCAGCAGCCTGGCATGTAATGCCAGTAGGCGCTTAGGGGATGTTTGTTGAGTAAAGAAAATGCACCAACGATGTACAGAATCGTTAACCCTCAAGTTCATTGGCATCTGTGAACGTCCAGCCACACTCCAGACCCTCCCTGCACTCGCCCCTCAGCCGTGGCTGTGCCCCGCTCTCTGAGGACACTGTGCTGAGCAAACGCAGACAGTTCTTCCGTCCTGCGGCCAGTTCCCGGGCGAGTGAGGGGACAGGTGTAGACCAAACACACGTGAAGTTGCTCCTGCTGCAAGGTGACGTGTCCACGGCCCCTTGGGGGTGTCACTTTCCCTCCCGCCAGGATTTGCCCACAGCCCCCACTGCTGCGGCTCGCAGCCCACTGCTCCTTCTCTCTCCCCTGCCCACTGGGAGCCTGCCCCGCTCTGTGCATGGAGCCGCATCCCCACCTGCCTCTCACCTGACCCCTGACTCCCTGTCCTCCCCCAGGGCACTGTCTTCCCCTCCGCACAGGGCTGACCACACCAACACGGTCCTGCAGCTCACACCCCTCCCAGGGTCCCCTCCAGTCTAAAGACCACAGTCTGAACTCTTGGCCATGACCTTCCAGGCTCCGCAGGGCTCGGTTCCCGCTGCCTCTTGGCCAGGCTTCCCTGCTCACGGTTTCTCTCAAACGCCAGGCGCTCTCCCTGGGGGGGGGGTCCTCCGCGGCTGCCGAAGACCCAGGCGGCCTCGAGGAGGGTGCTGTGCGCCAAAGACCCAGCAGGAAGAGCCCCGCAAGTGACGAGGAGCGAGGAAGTGTGTGCACAGCCTTGCACAGGCCTCCAGAGGGACGTGTCTGAGTCAGAGTGTCCCCGCCTCAGAGCCCAGGGACAGGGCAGCCAAGCAGTCCTGGGATGGCTTCATTTTATCTACCATTCCGGAAGCCTGGCAGTGCCCTCGGTGGCCGTGGACCTCGGGGGTGGCAGCTGGGTGGGGCGGCTGGGTGGGCGGCTGGCCCCGCGCTGCCACCAGGAACACTCAGGAGCCCCGAAGCCGGGTGCTGGTGCTAAGTGCTCTACCGCAGGGCTCTCTCTGGTGACCCACGGGGAACGGGGAAGCCGGGGGAGCGTGGGCACAGGGGCCTGGCTTGGACTCCAGGCCCAGTGAGCAGTCTTCTCCCCACGACGAGGGGCGGAGCCCACTTCGGTGGGGGAGGGGACGTGCACCCAGCTGCTCCTCCCAGTGTCCACGACGCAGAGCCTTCTCCCCCGGAGGCCGTGTGTGAGCAGCATCCCGAGCAGATGGTGGAGCCCGTCCTCTCGCTCTGCTGCGGGCGGCGGGCACGGGAAAATGTGCCAGACGCCGCCACACTTGGGCCTGCCCGAGGGACCGGCGGGGCGAGCCAAGCACAGCACACACAGGCGTGGGCCGTCGGGCTGTCTGGACGGCAGGTGGCCGGAGCCGGGACGCTCCTGGCTGCACAGTGTCGTCCCATCTGCTGGAGGACGGCCTGCGTCATTGGGACCTTTTCCTCCCTCTTGGTCCTTTAAACTTTCGGATGAGAGGAACCTGTGGACGTGGCCAAGGGCCCGGCATGAGGCCAGAGTCAGGCCCCATGTGGGCTCCTCTGTGCCTGGTTGGTGGGTGACAGACGAGTGCCCCGTGTCCTCGGTCAGGCTGCACGCCAGCCTCACGCAGCTTACCCGAAGGGCCATTGTTTATCTGGTTCTCATTATCCCATTTGTGAAACGGGACTGCCCCTGGTTCCCAAGGAATTATTAGACAGTGGGTCATTGCCGATGCTGTCCAAGCGATTCAGTGGAAGCAAGGGGACCGTCCCCACAGGCTGAGGCTGGTCTGCACCGATCTGGGAATTTCTGAACTCCACTGCGGTGCTGCAGACCTGGCCGGACTTGACTCAGGACCGGGAGTCTGGCGGCCCCAGTCCAGGGCTCCGCAGCAAATGACGCCCCGCTGTGACTTGATCAGAGTGTGTAAGGAGGGCGAGACTGAAAAGTGCACAATGTATGAGCGTGTGCCACGCCGTGTCGGGAAACTTCCTGAAGTTAAAGGGTTATCTGAAGGAAATCTGTTAAAGAAAGAAATACAGGGAAAAGCATAAAGAAAAACTAAATGTGCCAATAATCTAGGCCTGTGGCTGGCACACACTGACTATAATTGGCTAAAGTAAGTAAAATGAGCAATGAAAAAGCCCACAGATTCCATAACATTTGGTAAGAAGAGGTTTACTAGGGTTTTAAAAGAGGTGAATCTTCTCAGCACTAAAATGTAAAGGAATTTTCATGGGAATTCCAGTTGCTTCCCGCGTCTTCATTAAATCACTCCCCTGGCTCGCCGGGCCCGAGCTCCCTGGGTTCCTCCTCCACGTTTCCGTGTGAAGTTTATGGAACACTGGCTGAGTTACAAGGCATGCGTGCTCCGCTTCCTCTCAGCCACACTGGGAATCTGCCCGCGTGGGCCCCAGCGGTATGAGCTTCTGCATGTGGACCAGACCGGACACATTCACTGCTCTGGGTCACTCATGTTCATTTTCACGTCCACTGGCCTCCAGACACTGGCCGAGTGTCCTGGGCAGCGTGCCCGGTGGGGAGGAGCGTCGTTCGACTCAGTGCTCGCACACACGGGCTGTGGACAGCCCGCACCTGGCTGCTGCCGGCCCCCCACCGAGGTCATCTCCACTGTGCTCTGCACCCCCGACTGCCTACCAGTGTCGCCTCATTTCGAACCCGTGACTCTGATGCTGTCATTCCTGACCTCTGATGGGGGGCCCCCACTCGGCAGACACCCAGGCCAAGCCTGAGGGTCCCGCTACGACCAGTCTGGGGTGCAGCCCCCACACCGGTATTTTAAAAGCTCCTCAGTGTGAGTGCCTGTGTCAGAATAAGCAGCACCATTTTAAGTCATGTGACCGCTCTGCTCTTGGGGCCGTGGGTTCACTGACTTGGCTTGTGGTCTATAAGGTTTAAGATAAAAGGCTGGAAACTTTAAAAGGGTTTCTGGGGTTAAATATTACTCCTTACTATTTATTGTTCTCGCTGCACTTCAGGACACGTGACATGCAGGGTTCCTTTGCCCCTGAGACAGCATGAAGCAACGTAAAAATAATGTCGGTCCCACTGGCATTCAGAGACCACCCAGCGACCCACCTGCTGAGGCGAGGCCCCGAACCCTGCTCTGCCTACAGCTCAGGGCCACGGCCAAGACCGTGGCGGCAGCAGTGGGCACTTGGGTCCCGCACCCTGGCCTCAGCCGCTCCCACCAATGGAACAGGGAGCCTTCCCGCCACCCCAGACCCCTACCCTCTCCCCCTGCCGACCTCCCTCCTCAGACACGTGCAGACACGCAGTCATCCCAACGTCACCCAATGACGGTGATGTCCCTCGAGCCCTGGGACCCATTTCTCACCCATCCACCCGTTGGCCACACCTTTTCCCCTTCAATGTCACCCTCCATAGAGACCCACCACAAACATCGCACCCGCTGCCTTGGTTGTGGTTAGTTGGTAGGTTGGTTATTGGTTGGTTGGTTGGTTTTTTGGTGGTTAGTTGGTGGTTTGCCGATTGCATGGTGGTTGGTTGGTTGGTGGGTTGGTGGTTGCCGGGCTGGCTGGCTGGCTGGACTTGCCTCTTGTAGCCCAAACTGGGCACTGAAGCAGTCGACAGCCCAGAAAGAAGGGGGCAAAGCTGAAGAGGCCCAGCCTGCTCTCCACCCTGTGAATCAAAATGATATTCGATAAGAAGCTAATGTAAAATACATAAAATAGCTATAACACAAAAGAATATGGTGGGACATATTTTATTGTATTCCTGTTAAAAATAGAAGATGTGGTTTCCTTCCTTCTATGGAGGAGACATCGGTTTGTAAAGCACAGACACGTGTGCATCCATCGTAGAAGCAGGTAAGAAACCCAGAGGCCAGGAGAAGGCCGAGTGGACTGGGACCCACTGAGTACCGACCGCAGGACGGGTGGCCGCCGAGTGTGACAGGAGGACAGCGCTGCACGTGCGAGAAACCCCCGTCGTCCCCGGTGCTGAGCCCGCAGCCTCGCTGGGTGTTCCGGGGCCATTCTTTCGTCCCCTCTGTTCCCCGACTGGTGTCGGCCTCACCCCTCTCCGCACCAGGAGACCCAGAGGGCAGGTCTCTCTTCCTTCACAACCCCCAGCCGAGTGGAGCGGTCCAAAAATCACGTGGGTCTCCGTCATTCGGGGCAGTGGGTATATTACTCATTGTTTGTTTTGACAAAACCGTAACTGGACAGCCCCATGGGCCCCGGTGGGGGTCCTACTGTGAGTGACAGACAGCCTGCTTCTGGTCCAGGACGATGCTGCTGGCCTCCTGTCTGACCCTCACCCTCCCGGAGGTGAACTTGGTTTCCTGGAGGCCGCTGCTGTACACGGTCTTGACGGTGCCGTCGGGGTACTCCCGCCGCTTGAACTGCGCCGTGTGAATGTCCCTCTGCCCGTTGCTGAACACGATGGTCCTGCTGCCATTCCTGGGGGAGGAGAAGGTCATGTGAGTTGGCCACGTGGGAGCCGGGGCTGCGTGTGTGGGTGACGTGACCCGGGGCTGGGTCCCTCATCCAGGTCTCGGTGGATGAGGGGCGGTGCCAGCCCACAGGGGACCCAGGAGATGGAAAGGCAGAGCTCGGCCGGGTGGAGGTAAGGCCTGGGGACGATGTCAGGGGGTGGCCGGGGAGGCCAGGCAGGCTGGCCACATGGAGCCTTGTGCCCTGCGCTGCGGGTGGGCAGCGACGTGGACACAAGCTACAGTCGCCCGAGAGGAGTGACCCCGGAGGTCAGGAGACAAACCTGACTGTCGGGTGGGGAACGGTGGGGCCACTGCCGTCACCCAGGGGCAGCAAGGGGGGCTCGCGGCAGAACTGAGGGGGACGGGGTGCCCCACACACTCGGGCGCAAAGGGGCTGTGAGAGCCTAAACTTCCCGACTTCTCGGCGTCTGCGCTGGGGTCCCATCTCTGTGCACCCGTGAGCACCGTCCTGGGGTATCGGACGTGCTTCACGCCTGTTCTGCTCTAGACTCAGCTTCTAGAGGACTCAGTCTGAGGTGGGCGCAGGTGGGCGCATGCTCAGGGCCGCGACCAGTGTCGCTGAGGAAGATGCTTAAAATCGGCGTTTCCGTCCACACACAGCAGCTCAGATAGGGCCCCAACACACAGCTTCAGGGTCAAGGGCATGGTTCTCTGTTCTCACACTTAGACAAATCTTTAAGCCTTTACAAAAATTAATTTGAAGAAATCCTTGACTGCACAAACCGAAACTTCAGGCACGTCAGAGGGCCGCCGGCCCTCACACTGACCTCTCCACACTCACGGATGTCCCGTCGGGAAACACAGTCTCCTCCCGCCCGTCACGCAGACGCTTCACCGTCCCGTCCGGAAACAAGGTTTCTTTTGAGCCATCAGGGTAGAATTTTTCTGCAAAACACACGTTTTTATTGAGGTGTCATCGACGCAGAACATCTAAGCCAGGTTCCCATCCACACCACACAGTCACAAACATTGTGTCCTCGTGACGAGAATTTATAAAGATCTTAGCAACTTTCAAATATGCAGTAGACATACGAACTCCAGTCGACATACTGCGCATCACATTCCCCAGGACTGACCTGTTTTTAACTGGGAGTGTTTACCGCGGGCCTCCTCTGCCTGTAACAACTCTGTGTTACAGCAGCCCCCCCACGTACTCGGGCTGCGCTCCAGGGCGCAGGCAGGCAGGCAGGTGACCGCAGGTCCGCGCGCTGCCACTGACCTGTGCGCTTGTCGGGGAACCGCAGGACTTCCAGCCCGCTGGGGTGGGTGGTGCGCGTCGTCCGGGCGCCTGCGCAGTAGTAGACCTGGGAGCACAGAGACGCGGGTGTTGGGGTGCAGTCTGTACCATCGCCCCGAACTTGGTTCCCCCCTGGCATGGAGAACTTCCCACAGGTGGGAGGGGCCTGATCTGCCCGCGGGCAGGGGCGGGGCTCCACAGCGGGGCTCACCCTCAAAGCCACAGAAACCCCAACAGTCAGAGGTCATGGGCTGCCGGACCCTGAGGCCCGCCCAGGACAAGGTCCAGAACCCTCCTGTGTCACCGTCACACAAGCCTCGGGCGGGCCCTGCGACCGTGAACCCCGCCGCTCCACCCCAAGGACGGGCCGCACTGCCCACACCCCACAGGCGTGCGTCCTGCAGGGGTAGCTGCCCGTGAGTGGGCGGGGAGCAGACAGCGCTCATCTTTGTCACCACGGGAACCACGCGGGGCAGCCTGTCCCCAGGGTTTGGGTTCCGGGAGACTGGAGACGCGACAGAGAAGGCCAGGAGCCACTCAGAAGGTGCCTGGTCCAGTGCGTTCCACCCCGACCACGAGGCCGGGGTGGACCTGCCACTGCGCCCCGGCACCCATCTTCCTCACCATCCTCCTCCCCTCTCAGGTCAGCCTTGGCCTCTGCACCTGCACACCCTCCTGAGTCGGCTAAAAACCACGGACTCCGGGTGGGGCAGCCCTGGGGTTCGAATCTGAGGGGCCGAGGGGCTCACAGAGCCACCTGTTGCTCAGCTGGGTCGTGATGTACCTCCACCTGCGGGAAGGCCTGGGGCGTGGGCAGGCGGAAAGCACAGAGCCACCTGGGGCCTCTGCTGGAAACCAGAGAGACCGACCCGGACACGGAGGTGCGCTCCGCCGCAGGGCTCCGTAAAAGACAATGAGCCGATTATTCCAATGAAGACATTTTAAAAGAAATGTATGGAGCATGAGCTGGTGACGTCTCAGCACTGAAAGGCGGCAACCCATCTGCCACACACCAGCCCGGATCTCCAGGCCACACTTACAGTGACCAATGGTGAATTACCATGTCCTAAGTTAGAATCGCGGTGAAGCCCGCACCATCAGAAGGATACTTGCTTCTCTGCAGGTCTGCCCGGGAGACCCTCGGCTCTGCCGACTCTTTCCCAGACACGTGTAACCACCTCTGCGTATGTGTCTAATGCCCACCCCCACCACACACACGTCAGGGCGCCCCACACCAGTGACAGCCCCAAACAGCCAGCTGTGCTGCTGACCTCCACGGGAAGCGCCCCCCCTGTGCTAATGACGACCACGGCCATGCTCGTGAGCCCAGAGTGAGTGGTTCCTGAGCACCTACTCTGCGCCGAGCCACACTGGGGTGGAGGGCGTTCGGTTATAATAATCTATCTCGGGTCCCCAACCTCAGCCCCAGTGACGGTGTGGGCCAGGCAGCTCTTCGCTGTGGGGGGGCCACACCATGCACCCGTGGCCTCCACCCACCACAGGCCTCTGCCAGCTCCCCCCACCCCTGGTCTCTACAACCAGACGTGCCTGCTGATGTCACAGATGTTCCCAGGGGGCCACCCCCCGCCTCGAGAGCCACTGACCTGTGAACCAGGTATTTCCCAATTTTTCAGGCACAGAAACCGAGGCTGAGGAGGCCAACTTGCTCACACCCGCACGCGAGGTCACGGGCAGCGATTCAGCCCCAGGCCCTGTGGCCCCCAGGCCCACGCTCCCTGCTTCCCCAGCACCCAGCACGCAGCACCCCGTGGGCAGCGGCAGGGACAGTGCACGGTGGGGAAGCCCCTCCTGTGCAGACAGGAAGAGCCACCTGCCGTGTGTGATCTGCCCTCCAGCTTGTACCTGGAAGGGTCCCGACTCCACCTGCCCCTGTCGCCACCTGAAAGTTGATGCCGTGACTTAGGTGCTTTTTCCCAGCGTCTCCTGTTGTGTTTCTGGAGAGCACTGAGGTGGGGCGCGAGGGGGCCTTGTCCCAGTGCTCCGTGACCCTCCGCTGAGGGGGGTCCTTGTCGTCACCTCCTTGTAGGAGGCTTAGGGAGGCTTGCTGGCCACTAACGGGCTGGGCGAGAATTCACGACCAAGGGGGTGGGGCGGGGCGCAGGTTACTCCCACCTCCACGTGCAAACCTGAGCCCACGTGTGTGCAGTGGCTGGAGGGCTTAGTGCACAAACGGCCTGGATTCTGCCCCGTCACCCGCCCCTTGTCCCTGAGCCCCAGGGGAGATGTCTACCAACTGGGCGGCTGTGGTCGCCGTTTGAGGCACAGAGGTGCGGGTTGCACGCACCACTCTCTGGTCTGGCAGGATCCTCTGCGTGTCCCCGTTGAGGAAATGCAGGACGGTGGTCTTGGCCCCTGCGTCCTTCTTGGGGTCTTTGGGGGTGGTGATGACCTCGTGGCCTGCACTGGAGGCCTCGCCCACCTGTGCAGAGACACAGACACCTGGACTGACAAGGAGACACCAGCCTGGTGCCTACGTGTGCTCTTCCGTTCACAACCAGCCCTGCACACCCTTCCCCTGCACAGTCTCGTGGGCCCAACCACTGTGTGCCCGTGAACAAACAGTCACCAAACGCAGCAGCCCCATGGTGCACCCCTGAGCTCGGGCATGAGTCCTGACCGGGTGCCCCGGCCAGACCTTCCCGACAGACCTCTCACAGGACCTGCACACGGGCCAGGCAGCAGCCACGGTTCTAGGCGGCGCGTGGCCGCTGCAGGTGGTGGATTTGGGATCCCTGGGCCACAGCAGGATGGTCACTACATGGGAGTTATCGTTTGTGTACTTTTCTCTCCTTCTCATCCCAGGCCTTGGATTCACACTCCACCTGGTCCCGAAGGTCATCGACTTCAAACACGAGTGGGCAGGTAGTAAGTAACTTCACAGGAATTGAGGGGGAAATCTTTGTCTTCAAATTGAAAATACTAGTGACATAAAGATGAACACAAGGGAAAAACGGAGAGAAATCATCTCAACCTTTCTAGAGTTCACGTCTGCACGTGTGAAAATCATGAAGAGTCCATGTGCTGTATCTCGTGGCCTGAACTGGGGTCAGAGTCCACCCGGGGCGTGGTCACCCTCCACCGTGACTCAGGAGTCCAGGACGAGATTCCCCGGGGAGACGGTCAGGGGGCTGAACACCAGTGCCGGGCCTCTGAGAGCACCCTCGGCCCTGCGCGCAGTGGGCTCCGCCTACCACCTGCAGACCCTGCGGAGCCGCTGATGGGCTTGAGGTTTGAACCAGAACCGCAAGTGCACCCTCGCCCCAAACCAGCAAGTCAAAGCGAAGTGTGTTCTGTTCAGCTGTAGAAGATTAACTGCTTAACCAATAAAAAAAGTTTCCAGTGAGGCTTACAGAACCAATTACTTCTCAGGAACGAAAAAGCACAATGTTTTAAATGTTCCCTATAAGAAAATCATAAAATTAGTTATTATCCTCAGGGTTTACATCATAAGAAGAAAAAACAAGCAAATGAGTGAACAGAGGGTTTCAGCCCATCCAGGGAAGGGGGGCAGTGACGGGGGCCACGAGGAGAGCGGAGCGGGGGCGAGGTGGGGGTGGGAGCAGGGTACTTCGTTGTTCCCACAGCCTTGGGGGCTTCGAGTTGAGTGATGGACTCGTCCACTTGTCCACGTAACAAATCCTTAGGGAATATCACTTGTTTCCTATATCTTGTTGAGATGGTAAGACAAAGTACTTAAGTTTCATGGCCCTTCCCTGAAAAACCTGTACAACGAGGCCACTGAAGAAAAAAAGAAACAATATTCAACTAATTCAGTGCCACTGTGAGCTGCTATTCAGAGCTGTTGTTGCTCATTTTCTCAGACGTTTCATCTGCCGAGAGCCACGGTCGGCTCGAGAAAGCAGGGACAAAGGACAGCCCCTACGGGCCAGCGAACGGGCTCCCAGGGAACGGGCCGCGTGGCTGACCGGGTCCCGGGTCCGAGTGTCGGTGGCTTCTCCCCAGAGCTTACAAAACACTGCTGTCTGCTGCGTGTCCCTGCTCCACTCCCGCCACCCCCCCCCACCCCCAGGGGGAGACCACCGAGGACTGTCCTGTTTGGAGCGGAGGCTGAGCGAGACTCGGAAGGGATGCTGCTTCCCCAACAGGAGACCTGCTGTCGGCCTGCTCACCAGTGCCGCTGGCACAGACCGGCCACCTGTGGCCGAGGTCACAGGTGACGGGAACTCTGCTCAGGAAGGCGGGTCTGGGGCAGCCTACCCTGCTGTCTGGGCTCCGAATTTCTTCTTTGCCCTCCTTTCCCACTGGCCCGGTGCCCACGGGCTGTGAAGACTCCAGTTCCACAGGAAGATTCTGCAAGAAAGTGCGGCCGCAGCCTCAGGAGGTCGCTGTGAAAACCGAGGTCACGAGGCGGGAGAAGCGGGTCACCCAGCGTCCTGCGTGAGTGTCTCCACGGGCAGGGAGATTTCGCCAGCGCACAGAAGGAAACGCCGTGCCCAGGGAGAAGGCAGCCGGAGGGCTGCCCCGCCGGCCGGAGCCCGCTGCAGAGTAAACCCAGAGGACAGCGGTGCTTTGATCCCGCGTTCAGACGTCAGAAGGGGCAGTGCACTTCCCCGGAGAACGGAGGGCACGTGGGAGCCACGTTTTTACACTTCCTCCCGGTGGCCTCCTTTACATCGTGACTAAGCTCACAGCCCAGATGTCCGCCCACAGAGGGCGCTGTTTCGTCTCACTGACATTGTGGTTAAAAACAGCATGTAATAGCCCCAGCGGGCGTGGCTCAGTGCATTGAGCATGGGCTGTGAACCAAAGGTCGCTGGTTCAATTCCCAGTCAGGGCACATGCCTGGGTTTCAGGCCGGGTTCCCCAGTGGGAGCGTGTGAGAGGCAACCACACATTGATGCTAAAAGAACAAAACAAAAAATAGCATGTAATAAGTGGGCTGCTAGCTAGCTAGGGCTTAGAATTGTTACTTGCTAAATTCATACTAATCTCCCTTTAAAATTATAAGTAAAAATAATGTAAAAATTTGATTTGGGAGAAACATCACATCAATCTTGTTTTGACTGGGTGCTTCATGCAACCAACTTCAAACTAGAACAAAAAGTCTCTGTGTGTTTGAGAGACCGAGCTGCCCAGGAAGTCACCCGGAGCCACCCCCCGCACGCACCTGCGGTTCGGTGTCCGCGGAGGGGCCGGCGGGCCCACCTGTCCCAGCCCGGGGTTGGGGCTTGCCTTCCGGCCCCTCGGAGGACGGTGGGCGTGCGGCTATGGAGACAAGCAGGGCGGTGTGAGGGTCGCTTGCCCCCTGACCGCGCCATTAAGCCAACTGGGCTGCATTCTCTTTTTTGTGAGACGCACGAACCATTTGAGGAGAATCTTCAGTGAGTGGCGACTGAATCAGAGATGGACCCGGGAGAGAGACAGGGCCCACGTGACCAGAGAGAGGCAGGTGAAGCACAAAGCCCCGACTGGTAGACTGAGGCAGCTTGGAGGCCAGTGAGGACTGTGCCCACCCTGCAGAGGAACGAGGTGGTCTCGGGTGGGGGGTGAGGAGGCTCACGCGTGTGAAGGCCCCCCCGGGGGAGGGCGAGAGGCAGTCGGGGCGGGAAGCAGCAGTGGGGGGCTTGGCAGGCCCCAGGGTGAGGAGGGGAGGAGCGGAAACTGAACGGGTGGAGCCGACCTGGCCGGGGAGAGGGGACGGGGGGGTTGAAAGTGTCCTCGGGCCTCTGCCCGGGGTCTGGCGGACCCTGGACGGCGCCCACCGAGAGGACTGGGGTTGGGGACGGAGGGTGTGCGGGAGACACTGTCTGTGTCCTGGCCGTCCGGTTTGCCGTGCCCGTGGGCCTGGTGGGCCCACACCTGCGGGACACCTGGGCCCTGGCGAGTACGAGGACAGGGTCCTGCAGCGCCCCACAGGGGGCCGTGAAAATTTTCGGACGGGGACTTGAAGGAGGCACTTCTTCCTCAACTTGCCCAACAAGGTGCCTCTCGGTTTTCCTGGGGGGACCCCAGGTGCCGGGGGGACCCCAGGTGCCGGGGGGACCCCAGGTACCGGTGGGACCCCAGGTGCGGAAGGCTCAGCACAGCTGTGTGGACAGCCCCACCCAGAGCTCAGAAGGGAAAGGGAAGGACACTGGGGAGTGTTCCTTCGAGGTGACAGGGACAGCAGCCAGTGGCCATCCCCGAGCTCTGGGTGCATGTCGGGCGGGGGAGGGGGAGGTGGCAGGACAGACAGACCCCCGACGAGGGGTCAGAGAGGACGGCCGGCAGTGAGGGTGTCCCGTGGACCCCACGCATGGACCACAGTGAGGGCAGGGGGACGCAGCCAGGGGACTGAGCACGACAGCGACAGGAAGGGGCCAGCCGGGCGGCCTCACCGGTGTCCTGGGCTGCGGGGCGGTCCTCCGTCAGCGGAGAACTGCAGGCGGCCGACCCTGGGGGTGTCCTGCCGCTCAGCGTTGGCGAACTCCGGCCCGGTGGGGTGGCAGCCTAGGAGCAAGGACAGTCACAAAGCCTGCACTGTCACTTCAGTGGCAGTGACTCAGGCCAGAAACTGGGTGCCACCGAAGGCCGTTTCAGCCGTAAGTGTGTTTCAGTGACGCCAGGTTGACCCGAAGGCACCGCACCCGGCACGACGAGAAAGGTCGCCGTCTAAACGCAGACGTGGGGGGCAGGCAGGCAGACGGCCACCGGCTCAGGCGGCTCAGTGTTTCTGCTCTAACGATGACCAGGGGAGTTCCACAGAACTCCCGGGAAACAGGGTTATTCTCAGCAGTTACTCCAAACTGTCTTGAATAGTAAATCAGGGGTGTGCATTAGCCCTGAGTGGAAGGCCACCTCGCCTCATTTTCAGTATGACCCGTGTGCTCCAGTACAATTTCCCAGCCTCACCTTGTCACCACCCAGCGGGGCGGGCTTTCCTTCAGCAGGGGGCCCTCTGCGGGCGGACGCAGCCCCTCGGACTCGGAGACTTATGGACACAGTTTTGTCTCCATCCTCACGTGTCACTATCTCCCCTGAGTGGATTCTTTCTATCTTTATACTTGCTGGCTGAAAACAAATGAGGCATGCATTAAGAATAGTCCGGTCGTCCAAAACTATCAGCCGACACGTCCCACCAGTCATCTCAGGGGCCAGGCCAATGTGATGCTGAGTCTACACCCCAAAACGCAGAGCCCTGGGCTCCCCGCTTCCCATCTGACAGCCGAGATCTGGTGGGACTCAGCGAGCTCGTGGCTGGACGTAGAGAAAAGGTCTGTGATCACAGCACATAAACCTCATTGAAGACTTCTGGCCAAGATGGAGGCGGAGGTAGGAACCCCTTGTTTCCTCACACAACCAGAAGGAGGGTAACAACCAATCCAGACCACATGGGTGGGGCTGGCTGAAGGAGAAACTGAGACTCGGCGCTATCTGTGGACTACAGCAGTTGCCACGATGGTAGAAACTCCCAGTCTCACATGAGAGAGTTCCTCCTAAAGTGGTCTAGCAAGCGAGCTGCAAGGCTCCCTCTCCCGCCCCTCCCCCACAGCGCAGCAAGGTGGGCTGCCCCGCCCTCGTGAATCCCTAAGGCCCCGCCCCCCTTACAACTTAACAGCCCACCTAGACAAGGAAATATGGCCCAAATGAAAGAACAGAGCAAACTTCAAGAAGAGAACTAAGCGAGGAGACAGCCAACCTATCTGATGGGGAATTTCAAGCTCTGGTAATCAAAATGCTCACAGGACTGATGGAGCTTGGTGGAAAAATGAAAAAAACAAATGAAAGATGCCCAAAATGAAGTAAAGCAAAATATTCAGGGAACCAACAGTGACAGGAAGGAAACCAGGACTCGAAGCAACAATTTAGAACAAAAGGGGAAAATAAACATCCAACTGGAACAGAATGAAGAAATATGCATTCAAAAAAATGGAGACTTAGGGACCTCTGGGACAACCTGAAACATTCCAAAATCCGAATTATAGGGGTGCCAGAAGGAGAACAGCAGCAGCAAGAAAACTGATTTGAACAATAATGAAGGAAAATCTTCCCAATATGGCAAAGGAAACAAGACTTCAGGAAGTCCGGGGAGCCCAGAGAGTCCCAAAGAAGCTGGACCCAAGGAGGAACACACCAAGGCATGTCAATTACATTAGCCAAGACTAAAGATAAGGTGAGAATCTTAAAAACAGCAAGGGAAAAGAAGACAGTTACCCACAAAGGAATTTCCACAAGACTATCAGCTGATTTCTCAAAAGAAAACTTGTAGGCAAAAAGGGGCTGGAAAGAAGTATTTGAAGTTATGAGTGGTAAGTACCTCCATCCAAGATGACTCTATCCAGCAAAGCCACCATTTAGAATGGAAGGGCAGATAAAGTGCTTCCTACATAAGATCAAGTTAAAGGAGTTTGTCATCACCAAGCCCTTATTATATGAAATGTTAAAGGGACTTATCAAAGAAAAAGAAGATCAAAACTATGAACAGTAAAATGACAACAAACTCACAACTACTAACGATTGAACCTAAAAAAAGACAAACAACAAAAACAGAAACTCAACAAACAACTAGAACAGGAACTGAATCAGAGAAATGGAGATCACGTGGAGGGTTATCAGTGGGGAGGGGGAAGGGAAGAATGGGGGGGAATGTACAGGGAAGAAGCATAATCGGTAGGCATAAATTAGACGGAGAGAGGTCAAAAATGGTCTAGGAGACAGAGAATCCAAAGAACTTACAAGTACAACCCATGGACATGAACTAAGGCGGGGGGGATGCTGGAGGGTGGGGGGTGAGGGGCAGAGGGGGGATAAAGGGAGAGAAATTGGGGAAACTGTAATAGCATAATCGATAAAATGCGCTTTTTAAAAAAGAACAAAAAATAGAATCAGAAATACCAAAAACCCTAACTAAAAAGTTGTGCAAGGAGTGTTTTCACCCGTTGTGTGACTTTAAAGAACGCTGTTTCGAAGCACGGAAGGGCTGGTCAGTCATCCGCTCAGACAAGCATCTGTGAGCCATTTCTCTGCACGAGTCCAATCAACTCCGTCTGCTGCGGGGACAGAGGAGGGGCCGCTTCCCCGACGGCCGGAGCTCAGTCAGGCCCCGCCCTTAGCCCCAGCCACTCGGAGGGCCCAGAAGACACCTTTGCTTATTCAGTGGTGCTCGGAGTGGGGGCCGTGCCCCACCCTCAAGGTGTAAAACATTCTCTGCTCAGCGGTGGCACTGGGAGAGGATGGTGGGACACCTAGTCATCTTCAGTAGTTCAGGGTCTTCTCAGACCGGTGACCCTTCCCCCAGCCGCATGGGGACACCTATAGCTCCCAGGCACAAGGATGGCCAGAAGTCAGGTCACAGCAGCTGTGCTGGCCGGCAAGACACGTTCAGAAGGAAAAGAGAGAGGAAAAAGCGACGTCCAGTCCAGTGGAGCAGCAAGACGCTGCCTGGAGCAGCCTGTGCTGAACGCAGCAGGCACCCCCGGGAGACACCCAGCCTTAACGCCACAGGACACACGAGCCAAACGCCGTGAGGAGATGTGGCTACTTGAAAAGCACGTGACCCTGATGGCACCCCCAGAGGAGACCGCAGGGGGACCACGGTCCCCAAGGCAGGCGTTGGAGCCGAGATGGGGTTGGGGGTACGAGAGTTCGGGCCCTGGGCCTCTGCTTCCTTCCACAGACGCCAACACAGAGGGTCACCTGGGAAGAAGGCGCACTTTCAGGGCACAGTCCCTGTCCCCTGAGGGGTGCTCTATGACTTTTCCAGCCAGTGCGTTTTGGCGTCATGTCTTCGTCAGCTGACAGAGGTGAGAGGGGTCCAAGAGTCGATTTCAACACCTACAAGGCAATTCACCACAAACAAAATTCAGGGAGGCTGTTCGCATCTTCTGGGTACAGCGGCTGGGAGAGAAACTCAATGTTTCACCCACTGGGCAACGATGGCCACATCCAAGGTAAAAATAAAGGGGCCAGGTGGGGCCCCTGGCCTGGGGAAGCTCCTCTGGCAGCCGCCGAGTCATAAGCACGGCCACCGTGGGCGTCGTTTCCCACTGCTGTTCACTATCTCAAAGTCTCCCAGGTTCCCAGAGGGCCAACGACGCCCACACTTGCGCCCTGGGGCTCCGCCCGAGCTGGGACTGTGCTGAAGGAGGAAGGAAATGCGCCCTGTGTCGGGGGCACCCCCTCGCTCATCAAGGGGCCCAGCTGTCTGGCCTCTGGCTTCCTGCAGCAAGGCCAGCTCTGCAGATGGCAGGGTCCAGGAGGGCCGGGCCGGTTATGTACACCCGGCCCTGTGGCTCCCCAGCCACGTGACCCAGCGCGGCCTCGGTCGGAGGACTGTGTCCTGGGGTCACCTCGTGGGCGAGGAGGAGGGCCGGTGGGTGCCGGCCAGGGAGACCGGTGTCGGCTGCTGCTGGCAGGCCCTTGGGTGCCTTTGGGAGCAGACATGGTGGCTCTCCAGGAGCCCCCATCGGGCCCGTGCTCATTATCGATTATTTATGGGAAGTGGGGTTGACTCAGAGGTCACAGCCCTCCCCCGCCCGCAGTGCCCCGGTGAGGACACACACCCCGTGGTGGCAACGCTTCTTTAAGTCGAACAGAAGAGCCCTTCCGTACCTGAGTGTCCGATCTGGTCCTCAACCGAAGGGAGGCTGCGGGCGTCCGGCCGGCGCCCGGTCCCTGCAGTGCTGCGTCTCGCCGCCCGCCCCGCGGCCCCCGGTCCTGCCTCTTCAGGGCGTCAATCTGCGTCTGCAGGTGGCGGAGGGCAGCAGACCAGCCGGCCTCCTGTCTCCGGAGCTGCCAGCAAAGCCCGGCGACCTGCCGCTGTAACCGCTGTCACACGCAAAAGAAAGCCCTAGCTGGTGACCCTGGCATCTGAAGAGCGTGCAGAACCACAATGCCCGCGTCCACTGTGCCACTCAGTGGAGTCACCGTGCATGACCCCACACAGCACCGCCAGGTGAGGACGGCCTGGCCCACAGCGACGCGGGCTCCGCTACCTGTCGTTTCGCTCAAGGCTGAAGGTCACAGCGAGGGCGTTAAGGGAGGGCTTACTGTGCAGCTGTGACCAGCGGCCTGTGGCAGACACTTCTGAATTCCCAAAAAATGAGCGGAAACCAGAGTTTTACCAAAATGGATAAGTAACCAGCTGTTTAGAAATCAGAAGCCCCAGCCTTTAACCTGACACACTCACTTTTCCACGAGACCCTTCTCGGACCCTGTGCTTCCAGGGCCAACGGCACTGCGGGAGGTGCCCCTGGACAGAGGACAGCTGGGCGGGGGGACATGCGGGGATGTGCGGGGACTTCTATGCTCCAGAAACAACTGAGACACTCGTCAGGCAGGAAGCAGCCGAGTCTGGGGGGTCTGGTGGGACAGCTGAGTCAGGGGAAGGTTCCCGATGGCGTGGGCCCGGCCGTCCAGCCTGTGCCTCTCTCAGGTCAGAAGCACTGAGCTGCCACACCCGAGGGGGCTCCCCCCACGCCCCCAGAACACAGGGCTGCAGGGCAGACAGCTCTGCCTGCCCCCCTGGAAAGACGGGGGTCCATGTCTGTGCTAGTGCGTCACCACCCAGCTCTGCAGGACCAGAAACCGGGGAGACCCGATGCTGGGACAAGTGCTCCTGGCTGGTGTCACGAAGGCCCCGCCCACCCCGAGTGACCCCGTGGCACCTGGCTCACCAGCAACTCCTCGGCCCTGCCACCTTCCTGGGGGTGTTGGGCTGTCTTCCCGGGGTCGGTCCCCGCCTGTGCGTCCCCAGGGCAGCTGGTGTCTGCTGGCCGCTCGGCCTCCGGGTGGGCCCCCAGCATTCTGGAGGGAAGGGGGGCCGTCAGGAGGCAGGAGGCAGGGTGTCAGCCCCGCACCATCTGAGGAACGAGTGTAAAGGACACCACTTGTCACAGCCTGTCTGTGCCACTCAGTGTCACACACCGACCCAGCAGAACGCCGTGTGGTGTGGGGGCCACTATGGAGCGGAGGTGGGGGGCCTGGGTGGGCCACCTGGGGCCTCTCCTTGGCAGTGGCTGTCAGCGCTCTCTCAGACGGGCTCGGGACTGTCTCCGTGGGAAACTTGGGGACCACTCAGCACCTCAGCCACACGGGCTGAGTAGGCACTCATCCAAAAATATCGAATCAGACCCGGCCACTGGGGTGACGGATGGACTGTCCGACGCCTCCCGCAGAGAAGGTGGGTGACTGGGGCGGCCGCCCGCAGGCCCGGTCCTAGAGCGGCAGGGGCAGGCTGCCACCGGCTCGGCCGTGTCCCCAAACAGCGCTGAGGAAGGCGGGCTCCTGCTGGCGGACCAGGGTCTTAGAACGAAAGGGCCCCTGGTGGGCGCAGCCGCCCTGCCTGATTTCTCGGTGGCCATGGAGCCGTCCCGGGAAGCTCACGGCCACCGAGAAATCAGAACAACGAACGCTGCCAGAAAGGCACGCACCTCGGACTGCCCTTGAGTGTGGGAACCCACCGTCCCACACGAACGGTCACAGCGTGTGTCTCCCCAGGGGACCCAAGTCTTCCAACAACACCTAACTTCCCGCCAACCTGGTCGCCCCTCCCTCGCAGGTTTTAGGGAAGCCACACCCAGAAGGCCCTGCGGGTCCATCCTCCGTGTTACCCCATGAAGGCCTCTCTCCCTGGCCACCCCCCGGCCAGACTCTGTCACCTCACGCGTCCCTGTAGGCCACCGGGGCCAGGCACTGGTCCTTCTGGGCCATGGCCCCGCACGGCTGCCCCTGTTGGAGCAAACCAGAAGACAGCGGCCTGATTCTAAACCGACGCCCCGCCTTAAAGGGCCACGCCTCCCCAGTCCACGCCCCAGCTGGGTGGCGTCCACGCCCGTGTGCCCCCCCCTGCTCACAGGGGTCGGGCGCAGCCAGCCCCCCAGCCAGCCAGAGAAAGCGCTTAGGATCCGTTTCCAATACTCGATAAATAGTAAGAGCTCACCCTCTGATCACTTATTCTTTTTTAAATTTTATGTAATTAATTAATTAATTTTTAATTGAATTCATTGGGGTGACATTGCCAACGAAACTAGCTGGGATTCGGCTGCACAAACTCTACAACACATCACCTACTCACTGAATCACGTGTTCGCCTCCCCATCACCGTTCATCCCCCCTCCCCCCTCCCCTGTCCCCTCTCCTTTGTAATCGCCAGACTGTCATCTGTGTCTGTGAGTTTTTTCTCTGCTCAGTCCCTTCACCTTTTTCATCCAGCCCCCAGCACAGCCCGAGCGTGGCGGGCCTATTCTCCGCATCCGTGAGTCTGTTTCTGTTTTGCTCACCAGACTGCACACGTGACCGAGAGCCCGCGGTGGTTGTCTTCCTCTGACTGGCTTGCTGCACGTGGCGTAATGCTCTCCAGGCGCATCCACGCTGTCGCAAAGGGCAAGGTTTCCTCCTTTTTACGGCTGCGTAGTATTCCACTGTGTAAACGTCCCACGCTTGTTGTTGAAGAAAGACGAGCTGTCTTTGGAGGTCACAACAAACCTCGCGCTAGAAGAGGAGAAAGCGAGATGCGCAGCTTTGAACAGCAGAAGTGATTCGGGGTCTCATCGTTTCCCGGGGCCTCGCCATCCGCGTGGCCCCGAGACTCCCGTGACGATGGGGAACACAGGGGTGAGTGGGAGACGCTGTGTCGGGCGCTGCCTCCCATCCAGAGCCCTCCCAGCGATCAGGGGTGCGGGGGCGAGCACACGTGTACCCCTGCAGGGTAAGACCTCACCCCGCGCCCCGGGCCCCGGCGCATCAGGCCCTGTGGCGCAGCGCCTCACGGCCACCCCTGGCCGTGGCGGCGAGGTCAGCCCAGCACCTCGGAGACACAAGCCTTTGGGCCAGGGTGTGCCGAGACCTGGGCCAGGAGACCGTGGCCCTGTCGGCGCTGTGAAACCTGACTCCTCTCAGTGTATGTGTCTGGGTCGGGCACAGGGCGGTTCCCGCTTTCTGGCTGTCGACTGTCCTGCCCGGGAACCGTTCCTCGTGACATGTGGGGAGGGGACCTCACTTCTACGGACGGAACAGCGTGCAGTTCCTCAGAACATTAAGAATATAGCTACCCCCTGACCCAGCAACCCTCCTTTGGATGTCCCCCGGATAAACTCAAAAACATTTACATGTAGAAGCATCGTTCACGGGGGTCGAGACGCGGAGACCACCAAGTGCCCTTCGACACGGGACTCGGTGAAGAAGACACTGCGCGTATACGATGGACGCTCCTCGGCCACAAGGAAGGATGGGAGACGGCCCCCGCGACAACAGGGACGGACTCGAGACTCACGCTGAGCGACACCGGGCCGACAGAGGAAGCTGCGAACTGTGAGCTCACTGCTATGTGGGGTGCAAGACTGGAAGTAAAAGACAAACAAACAAGATGAACAAATACACAGGCAAAGGCTCATCAACACAGAATCGTGTGGGTGTCGCCGGGCGGAGGGGGTGGGGGGAAGGGGGCCAGATACTTGGGGACAGAAGGAGACTGGCTCTGGGTGGGGGCGCACGGTGCAGGGTCTGACTGAGTATCACAGAACTGCGCACTTGACCTTGCTGAACAGTGTCACCCTCGCCCCTTTAATTGTTTAAAAGAATAGTTCAATAAAACAGACAACTGGGAAAATAAAGCAATACTGCTGACTAAGGAAACTACCGGTTTCACACAAAAAGCGGCAGGAACGCCGGGGCCATCTCACGTCTCGGCACAGCTCCCGGTGTGCGCTGGCTCTGGGGGTCTGCTCGGGGGGCTTCCATCATTCTCAGCCTGAGACTGTTGGACTTGAACCTGCTCTGACAAAATTAAGGAGGGAGGGGAAGGGGGAAACCAGCTCTCTGACCAGGGGCACGACCGCGCACAGGTCAGCTCTGACCCGGGCCTGGAGGCCGAGTGAGGGGCACCTCTGCACGGGAGAAGCTTGCTGTCATAGCGCTGAATTTCTTCTCTGACACTGGTGACATTCTGAGGCCTGAAACACAGGGACGTCGGTCGCCCGCTCCCCTGAGGACACGCGCACACAGGGTGCCCTGAGGTCGCTGAGACCCTCTGGCACCCACCGCACACGCAGACCAGCGCCCGGGACCCCCGCCGGCTGCGCCGCACCCCGTGAGCGCCGGGCCCTGCGCTGGGTCTTCCTCTTCCCTTCACTGAAACGAGTCCTCTTCCGGTAAGTGCAGTCCCTTTCCCCGCAGGCCGAGGGGGGCCAGGCCACACTCAGGTGTCCCTGCTGGGAGGGAAGCAGGGTCCCCGGGTGGGCGGTGGCTCGGAAATGGGACCCAGGAAGGAAACCGAAACATGAGGAACTTCTGAGAGGTTACAAGACACCGAGGCCGAGAAGAGTCAGCGGCCCTCCCAGCAGGCCGCAGTCGCTCACGGGGGCTCGGGGTCCCCCCTGCCAGGCGCCCTCCCCAGCTGGGGTCCCGCCCGGGCTCGCTGGCCTGGGATCCCCTCCTTCCTGCCTCCACTGCGCGTTTAGTGGGTCCTGTGGTTTGTTTATACATCTGCTTCCTCACTGGTCTCCCCGAACTGGAGCACGTCTCTCGAAATTAGGAAGTATTATTATAAGAATTGTAAGTACGTGTATTCCCAGCACAAAATGAGTCACACTGTGCTCTAATATTGCTTGAATAAATGAGTGCGCAGGAAAGAATTTAAGTGCCCAAAAAGAGGTCTGACCTTCGTCCTCAGCTGCAGGGAGGTCACCTCCCAGCCCTCCAAATGTCAAGCCTGGTCAGGGCGTCTCTGTTGGCCGGGGACGTGGGCCAGCCAGCAGAAGTTGCAGGGTGTGGCAGGGATGCTGGGTCACACGGTACCCGCCTGACCTGCCCGGGGTCAGAGGCTGGGCCCACACCAACAGAGTGTCTGCCCATGAGAGCTCGGGGGTCTCAGTGGGCTGCGGGCGTCACCACGCATCTGTGCAGAGAAGGCAGCCCTGTCCTGACCCCCCGGGGAGAGGGCCCGGAGGCCCCACCAGTCACTCTCCCGCCCTCTGTCCCACGGGCCTCCTCCCCTGGGTGACCCTGACCTGCATCCTTTCTCTGTGACAGAAAACAGCTTTGAACAGAGCTGGGTGCGGGGAGGTCCTTCTAAGACGCCCAGACTCCCCACTGGTGTCAGACACGAGGTGAATGAGAGCAGGGGGGTCTGCCCCCCAAACTCGCAGGTGGCCAACCTCACAGCCGGTCACGGGAAAGCCGAAGTCAGAGCGACGGCTCGGTTGGCACAGAGTCTCCCCTGGTGACCTTTAGACATGAAAGAAAAACTGGAAAGGAAACATCGATAGCATTGAATTTGTGGTCAAAGCGATGGTTCCATTGCCATTTAAATTTCAGGACAAGTACAGAGATAAAACGTGCGCCTCAGAAATTGAAAGGAGAGCAGAGAAGTTTCCTGCGCAGGGAGAACGCTGAAGGAACAGTGTCGGTGACTGAAAACAGCGTTTCTGGGTTGTTCGGTTTAATTCGGCAGGACCCCGGGGGGAGAGGCTCAAACGTTCTGACTTTAAGAGAGGGGAAGGTGAGGACGGTTCAGTGTTTCAGAGGAAGGGAAGATAAACCGTGTGCTGAGAAAAGGCAGACTTCAAATAAAATGTCTCACTTTGATTTCCCCGTGTACGAAAGGAAAATGTGTAATTCCTGACGTTTGTGTTTGGCCCAATGAGGTAGAGTATCTATCATTTGGAAAGTTTCGGCATGAACTGAAACCCGTCTCTAAGGGGCAGCTTTTAAGTCTGACAAAGGCTTCAGTGTGTTCAGAGATTCGACTCGTGTCTCTCCCGGGTTTAGTGCCTTCCACCCCGAGGGCCGGCCCGGCCACCGGCGGCTCAGGGTGTGGGCTGTCCAACGGGCAGGGGCCCGCGGGGTCCCCCCAGCCCTCCCCCAAACGCTCTCCCGGGTTTCCTGGGAATTGTTCACTCGAAGCTGGCGAGTCCCTGTTCATAGGCGTCACTGCGGGAGGCCCCTGAGACAGGTCTGCCATTCTGGATGCTCGTGGGTCTTCCTCAGAACACAGAGAAGTGGGTTTTAACCTGGGTGAGGCCGAGCGAGGCAACAGGTGGGCAGGCGGTCTGGCTGGAGAGGAGCCCTGATTGGACCAAACTCGGAGACGCACAAGCTACACCCCCTGAAAGGGCGCAGGGCCAAAGCTCGGGTGGACTCCAGGGACCGGACTCCAGGGACCGGACTCCAGGGACCGGACATGTCACGGCTGCTGCAGTGAGGCTCCCGCCCACTGGCAGGCAGCTGGGCATCCTGGTCCTGACCCCCGGCTCTGGCCGGAACCCGGGCTGGGAGCACCCCGCCCCCCGTGCTCACTGGCCTGTCGCCTTGAGCAGACGACGTCCCCTCCCTGAACTCCACTTCTTCATCCATAAAACAGAGCTGACCTTTGCACTCACATCACCCCGCTGCGGCGCAGTCCATGCAGCGACCCAGGGGAACTCGCGCCGCTGGGAACAAGCACAGCACCACGTTGTCCCGGCCGCGGGGCATCGCTCTTCACCTGCATCGAGAACGTGCATCAGCCCGTGCACCGCTCAGGCGAGGGGCCGGGGCCGCACGCAGGTGTATCCGCTTCCCCAGCCACAGTGCTGCTACGTGGGAGAACCAGAATTAGAATGAAAGCCCACTGGACGCCAAAGCCCACATCGGGCTGAACGGAACCAGGGTGAACCGGGGCCAGCGGTGGGGCGGGACGTCAGGACTCACTGCGCATTCATTCGCTGGTTCCGTTACGTGCTGGCGTCGTCCTGTCACTGGACACAGAGCACAGGGCTGGGCTCAGGGAGCTGCTGCTTGGTGGGCCCACCACGGGTTTCACGGCACTCTCGGGCCTTAGCCCCGCGGGGTGGACCCTGGTCTGGGGGGTGCAGGAGGGGAGGGGAGTCTCCTCAGCAGGAGAGAAAACTTGGCAAAAGCGCAAGTACAAACGGTCCCCTGTGAAGTGACCTGGCCACCCGACCCACCTCTGGGGGAGGGCAGGACAAGGTCTGACCGCCAGCGAGTGAAAGCGAGCCGCGCAGGCAGGTCCCAGCTCCCGCGAGACGCGGTCAGCCCCAGGCCTTCGCTCTGTCTCAGTCACTTTAGGAAGACAGGCGGGGGTCCACGCAGCCCCCGGTTCAGGGTCCTGCCCCGCAGCCTCGGGCCCGGCCCACTCCCTCTGGTGCTCTCAGGCCACAGGCGATCGGCTTAACACCAGCTGGTGGGAAGGGAACCACAGTTTCCTCTTTTTAAGGCAAAACAGAACTGGGGGGCAGGGGCTTTTGCCTCCCCCACGGGTCCTCTTCCCAGAGAGACTTCAGTTTGCTTTTGACTCCAGCCGGCGCTGCGTCCGCGCTCTCGTGTGCCAGGAACAGGCAGAGTGGGCTCGGGCCGGAAGAGCCTTGCCATTTCCCTCGGGCGGACGAGCGGCGCCCGGGCTCCGTCCCCTTGCACGTGGCCACTCGGGAGCCGCCTCACAGCGGCGGGCAGAGCCATGCCGCCCCCGAACTGCTCTGAGCACAGCGTGGCGGTGGAGGTGGCCGTGGCCACGCTGCTGGCGCTGGAGTGCGGGCTGGGCCTGCTGGGCAACGCGGTGGCCCTGTGGACCTTCTTCTCCCGTCTGAAAGTGTGGAAGCCCTACGCCGTCTACCTGTTCAACCTGGTCGTCGCGGACCTCCTGCTGACCGTCTGCCTGCCCTTCCTCGCCGCCTTCTTCCTGCAGCACAGGACCTGCAGCTTCCGACGCGTGCCCGGCAGGGTCCTGTTCTTCCTGTGGACTCTCGGCCGCAGCGTGGGCGTCGCCTTCCTCACGGCGGTGGCTCTAGACCGTTACTTCCGCGTGGTCCACCCCCGGCTCAGGGTCAACCTGCTGTCCCTTCGGGCAGCCGGGGGCATCTCGGTCCTCGTCTGGCTCCTGATGGCTGTCCTCAGCCACCAGAACTTGCTGGTGCCGGCCGCTGAGTGCACAGAGCCAGAGCCCAGTGGGGGCGGCCCCTTCAGCCTCACCTGGCAGGAAGTGCTGTCCTTCGTCCAGTTCCTTCTGCCCTTCAGCCTCATCCTGTTCTGCAACGCGGGCGTCATGCGGGCCCTCCGGAGGCGGCTGCGAGACTCGGACAAGCAGCCCAAGCTGCAGCGGGCCCGGGCACTGCTGGCCACGGTGGTGGTGCTGTTCGCACTCTGCTTCCTGCCCAGCTTCCTGGCCCAGGTCCTGCTGGCCGCCTTCCGAGGGACGGACAGCTGCGGGGTCTGGACGGCGCTGGTGCACACGTCCCGCACCGCCAGCAGCCTCACCGGCTTGCAGAGCGTGCTGAACCCCGTGGTGTACTGCTTCTCCAGCCCCGCGTTCAGGCACTCCTACCGCAAGGTCTTCCTCACCCTGCGAGGCCGTGGGCAAGCGGCCCCCGAACCGGGCTGCGGACACAGAGACTCCGACTCCTGAGGACAGCCAGGTCCCGAGCCTCAGTTCTGCTGGGTCCTCCGGGACAGTGACCATGAGTTAGGACACAGTGGGCATCTTGGGACAGTGCTGAAAATATCAAGCCACGGACTTCGGCAAAACCGTGGCAAGTGTTGTCATGGACTCTGTTCGCCAGGACGTGTCGTTCCCGGGCTGCTGCGCAGAATAGAGCAGCAGACGAACACTAGGAAGCCGGCGCCTGCTCGGCGCCCAGTGCAGCTGCGGGCTGACCGGCTGGGGTGACTGCACCCCCACCCACGGGAAGGACGGTACTCCGAGGGCTCAGCGGGGAGGGGCGGTGGCTGGAGGCGGCTCTAGCCTCACTCCATTTGGGATGTGCCAGTGGCATCTGGTTTCTTGGCTCTGATTCATAAATGCAAAGCGCCTGTGTCCCCCACCTGGTGTGCACCGGCCGCACGAACCTGGGAAAGTGGGGCTCTGGGGCTGAGAGCTGCAAGCGTGTTCCCACGCTTGTCTCCTCTGTCCGTCTGTGGCTGCCTAACCGCGTTCGGGGCCCCGGGGGTGGGGGGAGGATTCTGGCGGCAATGCTGCGCCACCTCCCCAGGTTTTAGTTCCTCCCACGTCCACAGAATTTCAAAGGCTCAGAAGGATGGGTGAGCAGGTGAGGCCGGGAAGGGTCTGAATAAAGCCCTCGGCGGGACACCTTCCCCACTGGCCCGCTCACTCCCTTTTCCACTGAAAGGGAACCGTCTGCTCTCCGTCCCCGGACTTACTGCACCCGTGACTCTAAAAGCTGCTTTACAAAAAGCTGAGCCTTCGCAGGAGCCTTTTGCACACTGTGGCGACCACCCACGGGCCCTCTTCCCTGGGTTACCCTGTAACCTCCGGGAGGCACTGCCGGGGGCCAGCGAGGGCGCTGCCCTGTGCACAGGCAGATCCACACCGAAGTCACACGGTCCTCTGACCTGTCCCCGCAGGGAGCCCGCCCTCAGGTGGGACACAGCAGCCCACACGACTCCGGCAGGCCCTCGGGGGCCCCAAACACACGCCCTGCCCTGCAGCTGGCCGCCCTCTGGGCGCGCCCACCCCGGCTCACACGTCAGCCTGGCAAAATGGGGAAGTCACCCACCATGTGCCTGCCTCTCGGGCTCTTGCTGCCAGATTCCTGGGCAGAGCGGGGGCCTCCTTCCTGTTCGCCCCGGGTCCTGCCTCCGTAGGTCTGGGAGGGGCCTGGGCACTGGTATTTTTGAAGTCATCACAGCCACAGCTGAGAGTCACCAGGTTAGCGGCTCAGGTCAGGGCCTTTGGGTCAGCACCCTGCGCTGTCACTTCCTGGCTTTGTGACCTGGGACCGGTCACCGCCCCACCGTTCTCTGCTGCAATATGGCGATGGTACAAACCAACCCGTGGGAGTCTCGTGGGGTCGAGTGCAATGCTGAACCATACGGAGAGCACAGTGCCCGGCCCCCATACACGTCCAGCAGCGGGGACTCTGCTGGTTTAAGTGACAGTTTCTTGGCGGAACTCCCTGGCCAGTCTGTGTGCCCTTCGGGGACAGACTTTCCGCCCGCACACCCTCCACTCGGAGCCTGGGCAGGGCAGGTGCTCGGGGAGCTGGATGTGGGAAGATTCCGCTAAACTGAATGTCTCTCACTGTTCTTGCTTTCTGGACCTTTCACAGAGACTCTGACTCAAGTTCTATTCCGCACGTCGCGAGGGGACAGCGTTTCATAACGGAAGTCCAGGGTCCGTGGACCACCCTGTCCGAGGGCCTGTCCCCCACCCTGTGCTCCCCCCTGGGTGCCCTGCAGCTCTGCATCCCGAAGTTTCCCTGCTTCAAAGAGGCAGAGGAATGAGGGGCTTGCTCTCCCCACATGATTTTTGCTGAGCAAGGAAATGACTCAGAGGGAAGAAAGTGAAGGCAGACAGCAGCTGGCAGAGCTCCGAGCCAGGGCTCCGCTGTCACCGGCCGGTTTCGGTGTCTGTCCTCCTGTGACTCACTTCTGGCAGCGCAGCAGGTGCAGGGCCGTGCCCTCCGATCTCAGCGGTGCCTGCGCCCCGGCACCTCTGCCAAGGCCCGGCCGGCCGCCCAGTCCCCCCCCCGAGCCACGCAGCTCCCTCCCTCTCCAGGCCAGGCTGCCGATTTTAAGCTGTGAATCTCCTCATTTCTCTTCCCAAAGCCTAGTCAGCCACCGGCTCCTCCTAGGCCATATACACACCTGCTGGAAGGTTCCAGGCTCCGTCTGTCTGGAGGTTAACCCTACATGTCCAGGGGGAAGGGTTGGGGGCTCCGGGCCCCGAGTTCCCCAGATGGCCCAGGCCGGGAGGACCAGCCCGGCCCAGCCCAAGAGTACATTCCGGCCCCTGCTCAGCCCTCAGCCACTGGGCAACTCACAGGGCAGGGTCCCAAATCAGGAATCGGAGGTGCAGGGTGCGGGGGTGGCTGTGTAATACGGGCAGCGAGAACGTAAGCCAGTAATCCCCCCTTCCCCCGTGGCCTGTGCTGGGAGGGGCCGCTCCACCTGCAGAACAGGCCAGAGGGTCTGACTGCAGCTGTGGAGGCTTCTAGAGTCACCTGCAGGGCTCCCATACAGCGGCGCTGCCCTGGGTCACCCGTGGGGCAATTGGCAGCAGAGGGGCAGGGGGGGCCCTGCAGAGACAGAGGGCGTCTCTTGTCAGGGAGGACCACCGGGCCCAGAGGGACCCCCGCACCCTGCACCTCCCCTTGGACGACTGCAGGTCAGACGTAACAAAAGTCATGTCCGGGACACATAGGAGTGGCTGGTGCGTGGGAATTCAGACCGAGGAGGGTTCCACTCCCCAAGACACCCAACTCCTGAGGTTTCTAGGGGTCAGCCCGGCACGGCCCGCAGGAGAGCGTGAGCAAGCAAGCACACAGGCCGGGCCAGCCCCACGAGCTGCCCTCGAACTCGGCCTCTGGCTGGAACCCAGTGTCGCCCAGGGGCGGCCAGTCCGTTGTCCATGTGCCAGGCAGAGGGAGAGCGTGGCTGGTTGAACATAAGAGAGGAGAAGGGTCAGGACTGCCGAGGACAGTGTACATGGTAGCGTGCGTGTCCGTGGTTGTGCCCCCACGGCTCTGCTCCCCAGGCTCCTGAGTGAGGCCAGAGCGAGAGGCTGGACCGTGGGGGCCACTGCTGGTGGCTCTCCAGCCGTGCCTCTGGCTGTGGCCACTCGCTGAGGGACAGGAGTCATTCAAACTGAGGCTGACAGAGAGGAAGCCCATCGAGGTTTTTCTCAAAGGCGAGGTCTGGCTTCCGAATCTCAGCACCAAACACCACTGTCCACCCTGGCAGGCAGCCCTGGGACGGCCACCTCCCCTCCCCCAGCCGGCAGGCCACGGAGACAGGGCAGTGACAGTTCTCAGTGGGGCTGACACCCCAGTGCCATACTGTTCCCCATTACTGGGAACACAGGCTCGGCTCTGCGCAGAATTTAGAGAAGCGAAGCTGCTTAGCTTCACGATTTCAGAATTAATTTCTGGTGTGTAAATCGTATCTCATCTTTTAAAGTAAAATCTCCATCAGTTATCACGCCCTTAAAATTGTCCTAAAATGGATACCCTAAAATATATATAAATCTTACTTCCTAAATCACATATATACATATACACTCAAACACATGTTACAACCAAAACAAATACACAAACACATACACAAAAATGTAAGTAGTTACAAAGAAAAAAGAAATAAGAAAGATGAGCCAAACTACTGAGTATTTAAGGCAGTGAAAAAAAGGGTGAATTGCAGCAATATTGCAGGGACTTTATGCCTTAGGGAATTTTTAGAGAACATGGCATGACCTCTTATTAAAGTTTTCACCCTAGGACACACGCAGACTTATCCTGTGGAATTCGGGAGCGTTTCTGCGGGTGCAGCCTGCGTCCAGCAGGGGGCAGCAGCATCCCATCACGAAGGCCCGTGGGCCTGTCTTGGGGCCATTGAGGACTTGCCATCTCCCAAGTGGCACTCTTAGCGCGATGATTTGCTATCTCATCTACTTATATAATCGATTCAGAAAAAGGGCCCCCAAACATCGCCTTCAATTCCAGAATCCAGGTAGTTCTTCCAAAACGAGGCAGAAGATGAAATTCTTAGAAAATCCTGACGGTGATCCCAGATATAGTGCCCTGCAGATGCAGGCTGACGGATTCTGGGCTGCCCAGCAGATGTTTCTCAGACTTTCTTCCACCTGGTTCAGCCTCTTGACTGACTTCAGGCCAGGGGGTGGGGGAGGGGGCAATGATTTCAACGACTTTCAAGTTGTGCCCTTGCAGAAAAGACCACCACTTCCCCTTTTCCTCTGCCTGTTGGCTGGAATGAAAGTGTGAGGGCAGGAGCCACAGCAGCCCACCTGGACCACGAGGACAGCCTGGACTGTGGCACCCTGCTGACCATCTGGCTTGCCTACCAGGACTCAGATGCAACAGAGAAACAGACCAAGGGAGTGGGAGAGACACGGCTCCTGCTTTTAGCTCTCACGCGATCCGCTGGAGTAAAACATCAGGTGCATGATTATACTAGCAAATGCCTCTCAGGGCACCCACACAGAACGCACTGGCGGTTTGCAGTGCGCTGGGCATGCTGCAGCCTCCCCGCGATGTCACACACATCCCTGGGCACCCGACCGTGTCAGCCAGGTCCCCGGGGGGCGAAGAGCAGCGTGCAGACGGCATCAGAGGGCCTGCACGTGCGGGGGTGGGGGTGGCGAGTGACTCGTCTGAGAGTAAACGTGCCTCTCCACTGTCTCCCAAAGATGGGGGGGGCTTGCCTGGAATTAGCTGCTCCAGGAGCCAGGTCACGGCGAGAGGCCACCCTGAGTCACAGGCTGTGAAGACACATGGGCAGGCGGACAGGGGTCCGGCCTCCACGGGCCCGTCACAGCCACCGTCCACTGCCTGCTAAGCAGAGGTCCCCAAGAAGAGAGGGAGGTCTCTGCAGGGAGCACAGCAGCCACCAGGGTTGGGGACCTGCCCTCTGTACTGCCTCAGATGAGCTCCCCAGAGGTGGGGGGCAGCAGACAGGTCACTGGAACCCTGACGTGGAAGGCTTTCTCAGAGGAGGAGTGAGTCGCGGGAGGTGTTGGGGCTCTGACTCGGGGCAGGTTAAACAGGTGGGCGTGGCCCGACCCTAGGTCACGTGGGTCCTTTGTCCTTCGCGCTGTGGGGACAGGCACCTGAAAACCTGAGGTGGGCACGAACACCTGAACACAGCCTGCTAGAAAGAAGGGCACAGCCCAGGAATGGGGCTCACCGTCTGACGTGGACGGGAGAGGTCGGGCGCCCACCGGGTTGTGCGAGCCGCGCCGGGTCTCCCGAGTCCCAGCGCTGCAGTCCCAGGTCCCGGTTCCTCTGTGACGCACTTGGACATGGGCCTTCAAAGGGTCACCGAGGTAAAAAGAGGCAACTAGGGGGCCCACCCAGGCTGACTGGGGCCCTTATAAGAAGAGGGCATCAGGGCACAGAGGGGACACCAGGGATTTGGGGGCACAGAGAGATAAGCAAGTGAGGAGACAGGAGAGGGGCCGTCGGCACGCCCAGGGCAGAGACCTCGGAGAAACCACCTGCTCACGCCTGCATCTCAGACTCCGTCTGTGCAATGGCAGCCCCAACGGTGCACCTGCTGTGGGCACACACACCTGTGCACCGCAAGCAAGTACATGTGTTCAGTGAGGCCAGACGCTCTGTCTGATATCCAAAGAATGCCTGGATTTCTTACACATCTTCAGAATTTTTAAAGAGTTGGAAACATTGTACTTTTCTGGTGTCATTTCAACACTAGCCTGTACGTCCTCAGAAGCAAATCAGCACACAAACTGCAAGACGACACCTGTGTGCCTCTTACCAACGTGCGGGGTTTGCACGGTCATACTTCCTGCCTAAACATCCACCTCAGTCTAGATTTATATATGGTAACACTTCAGTTATGCAAAAGTCATCACTGACCGCATGTCGGCTACTTTGTAGCAGGAACCAAGGAAAACCGCCTCTGGTCAGCAGCGACAGATATGGCCATACATCAACACACACATGTGTCACGACTGTGTGCACACGTGTACAGTCGCAGCATTAACAGCAGACTGCCAGGCGTGACACGTGGCCCGAGGAGCACAGTTCTGACGGGAGCAGGGGCCCTGCCCCCAGACATGGCCCAACAGCACAGGGGTCAGAGTGGGCGCTGGAGGCAGAAACACGGCGGTCCCGCCGGAGCTGGACAGGGGAGAAGGCACGGATGCCGACACGCAGGGGACGATCATGGAAAGGGGACATGAGAACTGTGGAAGGACGATCCCCAGACACCGGCGCGGGAGCCCACCCACCGTGGCTCCGCGCCCGTGTGGGCTGCGGCACCGCCGCATCGCTGTCGACGTGCAGACCTACCTGACAGCGTGGCAGCCAGAGAAGAGAGGCTACCTAACGAAGCAGAGCGTTCAGTGCAAACACCTTTATTCATTGTGGCTGGAATTCTGCAGGGCTGCTGCTTACAGAGGGAAGCATCTGTCATCGGAGACTGAAGTCGCACGGACGCCCGCGTTTCCCGGCCGTGCCAAACACCCCCGTGTCCGCGAGCCGGTTGGGAGCATCGGCTCCCCTTCGAAGGCCACACCTGCGCCACCGTCACACTGAGAGCAGCGTTGGGAACGGTCCCCTTCGCTTTGGTTTCAGAGTCAGCTGCTCACAGGCTCAAAGGATTTGAGGTCCCCGCGCATCGTGGTCCCCCAGACAGACACCAAAGCCGGAAGGCGGTCTCTGCTTCACACTCAAATCCGTGTGACCTGGCGGAGCCACGTTTGGAAATACGGACTTGGAACCCTCAGATACCGCTTTGAATTTCATACAGCGACAAAAGCTCACAGGACAAGAGAGTTTCCGAGGACACGTCCATCAGCACTAAACATGCCGCCATTCACCTCAGCACTTTCCACGGGTTTGTCCCTTCGTAGCACATTTGTTTTCCCTCTCGTGTCCCATTATTTATACGAGACGCGGCCAAACACAGGTTCCGTGAACTTCTGGAGGTGGAGGAGAGCAGCTGAGGTCTGAGTCCTCAGTGACCCCAGGTCCCAGGCTGAACGGCTTCAGTGACAGCCAGCAGACGCCGACCTGCCTCTGGGCCCCGAGAGCGAACAGGGGCTCTTCACAGCCCTCCCACCTGCCCTCCCAGCCCACGCAGAAGGGGATGGAAGTTCCGCTGTCTGTTCTCAGCCAAGTCTCCTTGTCCCCTTTTCTAAGGCATCCCATGGATGAACGGTTTTCCACACCTAACGCTTTCAGTGGCACTACAGGCTCCGGTTTCGTTATGACTCGCTAAGCAAATATCTCATAAGGCCTCCAGGTGCTGGCTGGTTGCTGCGGGCAACCATCTGCCCAGAGCTCTTGGTCTGATGGCCTCCGACGGGACCGCCAGCTACAGGGACACACAGCCAGCTTCTGCTTTCCCACGGGCCTGAGCCACGGGGACAGCTCCCACTCACGCCCATGCACCGCCCTGACCGTGTTCCAACCGCGCCTCTGCTCGCACTCCTGAGCCCGTCCTCCTGCAGCCCGCCCGCCACCGCCGGTCCCCCCACCAAGGGCCTTGCAGGGCACGGGCCGCAGACGGGCTGGCCGGGGGACTCTGTGACCTCTCGCCTAGAATGAGCTGCATGTGGGCTTTCATTTGTTTCGTTTTTTTTGGTTTTCTGTTTTGTTTTTTTCAAGCTACTTGGGTTGGTTTTTTTTTGCTGACCGGAAGAAGCTGTGGTCTATGATGGCTTCATAAATGTTTCTGAAAATCTTCATGTTTGTAAACGAGTCCCTCCAACTCCACGGTTCCCAGGCCCATTTGGAGGGATGCTGGCTGTGGAACACGCCCGAGTCACGGCGTTTCCGGTGGAGAAAATCTGGGAAATGTGGCCGCCAAAGCCCACCCCCACCCCGCCTCACCCCACCCCACCCCCACCCCGTGGAGAGGTGCCCCGCCCTCGGCCCTCTGCAGTCCAGGGCCCGCGGGGAAGACTCTGCTCGCCTTTGCTCCCAGCCCACGTTCCTGTGCGTCTGAGCACCACACGTACACGAGAACGTGCCCACACGGCGCCCGAGCGCGTCACATGGTGAAGGAGGAGGCGTTGTCGTTGTCCGGGGTCTCGCTGTTCTGCCTGGAGGCGAAGGCTTCCGAGGGCAGCCTGGAGCAGGAGAAGCCCGCGGGCTTCTGGCCGCGCCGCACACACAGCAGGCCCTTCATGATCTTCAGGAAGTAGCCCCTGAACTTCTGGCCGATGAAGGCGTACAGCACGGGGTTCAGGCAGCAGCGCAGGAAAGCCAGGGCCTCCGTGCACTGCCGGGCGTAGCCCAGCAGCTTCTCCCCGTAGCAGGAGCGGTTCAGCCTGCCCAGCTTGGCCGCCGTCACCAGCAGCACCAGGTTGTGGGGCACCTGGCAGACCAGGAAGACCAGCACGACCGCGAGCACCACACGGATGGCCCGGTGCCGCTTGGAGTTCTGGGCGCGCAGCAGGGCTCTGACGATGAACAGGTAGCAGAACATCATGAACAGCAGCGGGACGAAGAAGCCGAAGAACAGCTGCAGCCCCAGCATCAGCAGCTTCCAGTGCAGGGGCTCGGAGAGGCCGGCGAACCGGGGCTCACAGACGTGGCTCTCCTGCACGGGGCCGCCCGGCACGTGGTTCTGCACGCGGTACTTCTGGTAGAAGATGAAGGTCGAGACGGAGATGAGGACCGACACGGCCCACACGGTCAGGCAGATCCCACGGTGGTGCGCCAGCGTCCGGGACCGCAGGCGGAAGGACTTGGTGGCCTGGACGATGGCGATGTAGCGGTCCAGGCTGATGCAGGCCAGCAGCAGCATCCCGCAGTAGAAGTTGATGGTGTGGATGCCTCTCACCAGCTTGCACATGGCGTTGCTGAACAGCCACTGTTCGGCGGCCTGAGTGGCTGCCAAGAACGGCAGAGTGAGGACAGAGAGGATGTCTGCGACGGCCATGTTCAAGAGGTACACGTCGGTCATGGACTTGGCCTTCTTGTAGAACGCAAAGGTGACCACCACCAGGACGTTGCCCAGGAGGCCGAACACACAGATCAAGGAGTAAGCGACAGGCACGAACAGCCTGGAGAACTGCCTGACCTCCTCCAGGGAGCAGAGCAGGTTGTCACTCTGACTCGGAGACAGGTAGTCGGAGCTGTTGCCCTCGTCCCCATACTGGTAGTAGTACGGCCCCGGTTCCTGAGGAACGAGCAAAGGCAGAGTGAGCTGTGCCAGGAGTTTCAAGCAGCCACAACCTGCGGAACTCGCCCGCCCCACCCAAACCAGGCGGAGACTCACTGTGGTCATTGTGCTGCTGGGCGGTGATCCAGGCAGGGCTGGGCCTGACAAGAAGGGCAAGGACTTCGACCCGCGGCCCGTCGGCGGAGCTAGCAGGAGGCAGGTGAGCCTGAGCAGGAAAGGAAGCCAGGTATGCTGTGGTTAACCCTGCGTCGCGTTCCGGGAGAGCCAGAGACTCGGGGTGCTGGCAGGGGAGGACACCCACTCACAGCAGGGGCGGCACCCCCGTGGGCAGGGCCCGCCGTCCCAGCCCCGACAGTGACGGGAAAGCTTGTGTCCCGACTGGACACAAGCGGACAGGCTGGTCCAGGGGCGGTGGCCAAGTGCCGAGACGTGCCGACGCCTCAGCTGTGGCGTGAGCAGGGCGACGTCGGCCCAGCTGCAGACTCGGATCTGCCCAGAAATCTCCGTGCTGAGTTCGGCGGAAGCGCGCTCTACAGGACTCCCCTGAATGGGGTGGGGGGGCAGGCCCAAACGTCTGTCACTCACAGACCGCTCGCAGTGCAGGTCCGGGCCTCACCCGGGGGGCCTGCGAGAACGCTGCCAGGGCTTTTATAAAGTTTGTGCATGCGGTTGCTCTCAAGGTAAACTACAGCAGACGCTCTGGTAGGAGCGGTAGGAACGCACGTGTTCTTAAAAGCTACAGACACGTCCCATGTACACTGTTTACAGCCACTCGTCTGCCAGGCAGACGCAGCAAGACCCTCAAAAGCCAGAGTGCGGGGAGGTCGAGGCCGGCACGATCAGGAGAGGCTGTGCAGACAGACCCGCTCAGGGTCCTCGGAGACAGCGCGGGGGTGGGTGGGGACCCTCTAGCGTTCCTTAGCAAGGTGGGCAGTGGGTGGCACAGGTGACAGTCAGTCACACAGCCACTGATGGGCGTGGGGTGGCCGTCGGAGGCGGAGCGGATGGCCATGTGGCGCCCAGCTGACACCCCTCTGAAGGGAACCCCCTTCGGCCCCACTGCATACGATGGGTCGTGTGTTCTGACCTCAGACTTAACCCTGTTCCACACCCACTGGGGAGATGCCCCCTGAGCGCGGCCCCACGGGTGCCAAGAGCAACCCACCGCCAGCTCCGACAGCAGGACGCTATCGGGGACCCATCATGCACCTGCGTGCTGCCATGGTGGCCATGGGGCGCGCAGAAAAACAAGGGCCTGGCCCCTGGGGAAGAGAACCTGTGTCGGGAAGGGCTTTGTCCTGGTCAGCAGGCGGAGCTGGCGGGGGCTCAGGGACGCTGCGCCTTTGCTGAACGGTGTCCACCTGGGAGGCACTGTTTAATTTCCTCTCGTTTATGCTGTTTTGATCAGGATGGCCGAATGATCGTGAGAGACCCGCACCACCCCCCCAGGGTGTCAGTTCCCCATTGCTTAGGGGGATGGTGGGGCCCGTGGGGCGCAAACAACACACAAACAGGAACAATGACGGAGTCAGGAGGCTGCAGCTCAGGGCCGGCACTCCCAGCAGCAGGCCACGGTCACGTTACGTGGCTGCCAGTCACTTGGTGTTCCTGGAAGTGATTCAGCCGCCAAGACCACCGCTTCACCACAAAGCTCATGTGAGCTGTTTCGGGGAAATCGGGCCGGCGCCGCGGTGCCACCGCGAGGCGAGAGGAAGCCCGTGCACCTGCTGCTCGCCCACATGGCCTCGGACCCGGGGCAGCGGCTGCCAGCTCTTGGGGAGACAGGCTGCTTCTGCCAAGAGAGCTGTGCAGTGAAGACATGGGGACGTTCCAACGTCAAGGGTTCTGGGCCCGGCCGGGTGGTTCAGAGGGTTGGAGCATCATCTCTGTGCACCAGAAGGTTTTGGTTCCATCCCGGGCAGGGCACCTGCCTCAGGTGCAGTTCAGTCTCCGATTGGCCGTGTGCAGGAGGCACATGGTCGATGTTTGTCTCTCCCTGTCTCTCTCCTTTCCTCTTGCTCTAAAATCCATAAACGTATCCTCAGGTGAGGATCACAAACATAGATATTTCTGTGCCTTCTCTGATGAACTGAGAGTAAGAGGCACGTTATCTTCCGGGGCTGATGAAAGGCAGGTGAAGCATCCCGTCATCTGTCCGCATCCAGTGGCTGATGAGTCGCTGGCTGTGAAGTCCTTTGAACCGCGTCTGGCCCCTCTTGCTTTCAGGGCCCTCCTGGCCCTCCCCGCATGCGCCCCGTTCTCGCCGGGCCCTCTCTGTAGCCACTGCCGCACAGACGGCACGGCCAGCTCAGCTGGTCCCGAACGGGCGCGGCTCTCCCGAGTCCCATTTCTCCAGCAGAGGAGGGAGCGCGAGGGACCGACCCTTCCTGCTGCGATGGGGAAACGAGGCTGGGTTCGGGCTGCTCTGTCCACCTGGCTTTTCCCAGCGTCTCCCCTGGTGCTCCACCGCTTGAGTCGGGTGTCGGGTGCTGCTGTACCAACGACTCACTGTCCCCAGCTGCCTGAGCGCTGGTCCCTCGCAGGACTCCTTACCCCTCTGCCCCTGGGGCGTCCCCCACGCGGTACCAGAGCAGACCTTGGAACTCTGGTGCCCACAGAGTCCCGGAGGATGGACCTGCACAAGAACCTACAAAACCACCGGCAGAGAGTCATTTGGGATCCTTGTGCCGGAGCGGCCACCTGGGGTCGATTCGAGGCCGGAATGACAGGAGAGCGGGGTGGGCGGGGCACTCTCAGCTGGCCAGCGTTTCCTGACTGTCTCTCTCGTCAGTTCCTAGCTGTGGTTGTCATGGTGACATTGACATGTGACCATGTGCCCCTGCAGACTGCAGATGGGGGGCGTGCAGTGCAGACATTGCAAGTCCGTGATCCACCTGAAATGCAGATGGGGCCGCACGGACCAGGTAAAAGCACAGATGGGTGTTTGCTTGTCGGCCCCCACATGGTACCACCCCTCATGGCCGCCCAGTGCGAGACCCTAACTGGGGTCTCTTCTGCCCTGTGCTGCCATTAGTTCCACCGACGTCAGAGACAAAAATAGAGGAGGCAGGCTCACCGGGTCTGAGCGCGACGGGCAGCCTGAAAGTATCATCCTGAGGCCGATGAGAGGACCAGACGGTGGTAGGTCCAGCCGGTGAGATTCGGCCGGCCAACAGAAGGGCCTGCCCTCGGACTGGGAGGGCCCACTTCCAGACGGAAACGAGGCAGCGGAAATTAGAAGAGCTCATTGGCACTCAGTGAGGACAGGAGACTTTGCTAGGGGACAGCGGACACCGTGCCCTGCGGCGCTGGGGGCGGGCAAGCCCTGGCTGACTGCTGGGATCTGTAACAGGAGCCTCTATGGGGCAGCAGGAGCTCTGCCCGGGGGACCGAGGGGACCCGCCCCCAGAAGGGGGTGAGCTCTCGAAATGGAGACCCCTTCCCGGCTGAGCCGGGGCCAGAGCTGCGGGGGAAGCCGGGGAGACAGAAGATCTGAAGCGAGAGAGGGCATCTGTCCGCTGCCACCGCTGCTTCTCACTGCAGGTCACACAATGACACGGAGGCTCCAGGAGCTGGGACGGGCCCTCTGCCGACAGCCTGCGCGCAGGTGGGAGTCGCGGTCCTCCGACCACGGAAAGCTGCACTGTGGCCACGGCGGCCCGAGCGGACGCGCAGCCTCCGTCAGAAGCTCCAGGAGGAGCCCAGCCCCGCTGCTCCTGGGTGTCAGGCTGCGGCGAGACCGCGGCCAAGCTTCTGACCCCCAGAGCCACCGGGCGCAGAGTTTGGGTGGTTTCAGCTGCTAAATCTGCGGCGGTTTCTCGTGGCCTCGTTCGGGAGAAAACAGAACGAACCGCAGCAACTCGTGGGCATGGACAACAGTGGGGGGCTGCTGGGGGGGTGCAAGGCAACTAAATGGCAATGGAAAAAAATACAGTAAAAATTAAATAAAAAATAAAATAAGAGACTACAAAAAAAAAACCCTTAGCGTTTAGAATGAGGCAAGAGACAGCACCGTCCACCCCGCACGGGTCAGATGGCACAGTGACTCCCAGTGACCGAGGTGGCGGCAGCTGGAACTGGGTGAAGCGAAGGGACTGATAGGAACTGTGTCTCGAACCGGGGGTGTTCGGTCTTAGAAACTGACGGGCCGGTGACGAATGAGGTTGTCAACCACTCGCTGTCATTTGAAAGAGGGTCTGGGCTCCCACCCCCACCCCCCGAGGGTAACACGACGCCGGCACAGAGACTGGGGGGGGCAGAATCGTCCTCGCGGGGGCAGCCCATCTGGACGCCTCGCAACTGTGAAGGTGCCGGCTGCCCTGCGGGACGGCCCGCTCCCGGCCAAGCCTGGGGGCCGAGTCCCAGGGGACGGGTGGTGGAAACGGGGCGGCCCCCCCCCGGCTGAATCCGGCTCTGTGGGCACTGCTGTGCATGGAGAGGAGGGTGAGCGGCAGGCTGGGGCCCCTGGGAAACTCTAACTGCATTTATGGGCGGCAGGGGGCAGACCTGGCTGTGCCCCCGGGAAGCGCCTTGAGCCCCCTGCACTGGGGCATCTGGGTTTCTCACTGCCCAGAAGCCTAGACATGGTGGGCTGCTGGCCGCGGTCCATGGAGGCTGCCGGAGCCAAGCTCCCGGGCCCCGGTCAGCTGCCTCACCAGGTGACAGAAGCAGCGAGCCGCAGAGAATATTTTTGCAGGACGGCCGCGGCGCCCGGTGCCCCTCTGCAGCCTGGAACCGCTGTCGGTGAGTGAGCTGGTCAGACAGCTCAGGGCTCCTCCGGCCAAGGGAGTTTCTGTGTGTGCACCCAGGGCTGGCCTGTGTCGGCACGGCCTGAGGGCCGGCAAGAGGGGTGGTCCTGCAGGTGTCCCTGTGGCCAGGACACGCGTCCCTCTGCAGGACTGTGCATCACAGGGGACCTGGCTCCAAATGACAAGTCAGGGGGACAGCCCAGCAATCACACGTGAGTCCTCGAGGAGGCCCGGGTGGGAGCGAGGGCGGGAGAGGGTGCTCTGGGTAAGGAAGGCTGGGAACCGCTGCCCACACCCTCCTCTAGGGTGCTCACATCACAGCAGAGTCAACGGCCCCTAGAACTCGGCTCCAGGAGCGCCCCAAACCTCCTCACCCAGGGTGTCTCCTGGGACACTGGGGACAAAGCCCCTGGAGGGGGTGCTCATCAACCCGCCCGTGAAGGGCAGGCACGGGCTCCAGGCGCACACACCGCTCACCCACCAACTCCGCCTCCGCAGTGCTGACCCTGCCAACGTGGCTGGGTGCGCCCGGGGCGCAGGGGTCACAGGCCCTCAGGTGGCACGCAGGCCCCCAGGCCAGTGTCTCTCGGGACCAGAGGCAGTCACTCAGAAACACAGGAAACAGAGTCCGTGGGCCCCCAGCTGCCTCCTGGCCGACCACCTTCTCATCTCAGACACACCTAGAAGCCAACTTTTACGGAGAGATACGTCTCGAAGCGGCTTTGCTTCCATCTCAGAGGCACAGAATGCAAAGCTGACCCTTCGCTTTGCTGTCGAATTTAAGGTGTAAACACATCGCCTTCTAGGTGACAAGCACAGGTCCGGAGCCCTGAGAACCAGGCGTGTGCAGATGAGAGATGGACACAGCTTCCGCCCGTCAGTGGCGACATGTCAAAGATTTCGGTGCCACGCCTGAGAAGGATGCTGCTTTGAGGAAAACTCAGCAGTGACTTTAGTAGACCACCATTTTGAACGTAGTATTTTAAGTGAAATACTGTGGGTTTCTAGCATCGTTTTTGTTAGTCAGGCAGACAATGTCTCCGAAACAGCAAACTGATGAATTCAATCTAAGGCAAGCACAGTGAGACCTAAAGTCAGAAGGGAGACAGCCCACCCTGCGCAGCTGAGGACCAGCCGGCGTCCCGCCCTCCCAGCTCCGTCCCACCGGCCCCGCCCCAGGCCTCTCGGCCTTCGCTTCGGCGAAACCCTTTGGACTTTTAGGCCCTGGGGGTCCCTGGTCACATGCAGGGACAGGAGGGAGACACTCTAAGTCTGTAGCAGCAAGCACCTTAGCTGGTGTCTGTTAATGGACAACAGGCCGTTGGGGCGGGGGGGGCGGGGCGGGGAGCTGGTGGTCAGCGCCCTGGTGGGGCCAGGTGAAAGGGGACAGATGCCAAGAGCAGAGGAGGTAGCCATAAAGGCAGAGCTGCGGCTGACAGGCCAACCCCAGCTCTTGGTCCGTGTGGCTGAGGGCAGCCTTACCCAAGAAAATTAAATATAGGAAAGACATCTTTAATAACATCAGTGAAATACCATCAGCAAAGAAAAATGTGTTAAATTTTTAATTTAAGCAGATGCAATCACAAGTGTGTTTGTTAAAAGTAAATCAAATCGGAAGACTTAAAACCTGTGCTTTCTCTCTGAACAGAGATACTGCAAGGAAAGAGAGAAGAACAACACAGCATGTGTGTCACGTGCACCAGCACACCTCTGCGTGCATGCGAACACACATGAGTCGTGTGTGGGTGCATGCACGTGTCAGCGTGCGTGGGTGCGAATGTGTGTCCTGGGTGTTCGTGCACCTGTGCATGCGTACACACACGAGTTGTGTGAGGCACACATGTGTCAGCATGCATGGGGGCACACGTGTGTGCTGGGCGGTGACTGCCAGGTACTTTCTGGGCACTGGGACCACTGATTTTTATCTCCCGAACCTCACGAAGCCTCCCCGGCCGGCGGCACGCCCACTTCACAGAGGGAAAGGCTGCGGCCCACGCAGGCGGCCCCACTGCCCCCCATCATCTCCAGGGGCCTTCCTGAGGGACCGCAAAACTGCCGCAGGGCCTTAAGTAGTGTTCTTCTGAACCCCCTTGCGGAGCCCAGAACCGCACACCCCGCGCCCGTCTGCGTTCCGCGAGCACACACTCGCTCCCTTCTGCACCGCCCGGCGCCGCGTCCCAGTGCCGTCAGAGGAGCGCCGGTGTGGCTGAAACTCCAGGCCGGCTTCCTTCTGCTTTTGAGCAAGAGCGGTTAACACAGAAGTCAGAAGGTTTTTTCCAGTGATTTGTATATAGGTTGGTGGTTTCTTTTCTCTTATTTTTGGTTCCGTTTGCTTCTTGGGAAGCCAGCTCTTACATTTTCTTTTTTATTTACAGAAAACATCTCTTGAGCCTTTTTCAGAATTACTTTAATTCAGACTTTGCATCTATCTCTTTGCAGTGCCGATGTCTAGGATACCTGATTTCTGCTCCCCTGCTGGCTCTGTGGGGTGTATGGCGGACCCTTCTACAATCATTATGAATGTTTTATGGCCGCAAGAGCCTGACTTCATCGTCATTATGCATTTGCACCTGCGATCAGAGTTTTTCCAGTACTTCCCTGAGTTTCACAAAAACGTGCACCTGATCGATTCCTCTCGGTTTTCCTCACCAACTCCTTCCCACGGACGACCCCCACCCGCCATTCCATACCTCGGCTCCTAGCCTTGCTTTGCATAAGTCACTTTCTGCATTGCCTCCAAAACATTCTCAGCTCAGCTCTCGGATTCTCAAAATCTTCTTGAGTCCTCAGTTAAACAAAAAATCACCTCTCTCTCTCGAGGCGATGCCCGAACCTCCCCCAGGCTCTAGGGAGAGGCGGTTAGAATGAACGCTCTCCCTGTCCGGGGCCATTTCGGGGTCAGCGGACTCCTCGGCAGCACAGCCCTGTTACCAAAACGAGCAGCACCATGTCGGAGGGTGCGTGCGTCTCAGCGCAGGCCCGGTCTGCCCCCGCCCCCCACCCCGCACTCTGGAATCTCTGCATGAAGCAGTTCTATGTCTAAAGGTCCTCAGGTGAGAGGACCAAAGATGCCTCGACGGTTTGGAAGGAGGGAAGGCGGTGAGCTGTGCTTACCTGAGGCCATGCCGGGACCCACTGAGGACGGTTCAGTCACACCCCCCGGTGATGCTCCACGCTCCCAGGCCACCGGCGAGACTCTGAGGACAGGAGTTCCAGAGGTCATTAAGAAAAGTCAGTGAGAGACTAGAATGGGACAAAGGCAAATTGCTGAATTACCACTTCCTACTTAAAAGTAACGCCTTTCTGCCCAAATGCAGATGGTTAACCATCTATATCCTGTAGGTTATAAAACAACCATGTGACCCTCTGGAGCACCAGTGGGGCCAGCCGCGTGGTTGAGCCCCGCCAGGCCCTCCGGACAGATGGCCCACGCAGGCCCCGCCCTGCGCCTGGCCGACCCTGACCGGCTGGCCGGGGAGCCGTGGAGGTGCTGAGAGACGCCCCCGAGGCCTGTGGTTAGGCTGTGCACAGCTGGTCCCGGGGGTGGGGGACGGCGCTGCTCCAGCCTCCGAGCGTCGAGGGGTAACCGGGCTGGGCCACGTCCTGTACGTCTGGAGTGGCTCTTGAGGAGTGAGAGCTAGTATTACTGTGACTGCGTGGTGACCGGTGCTAACTGGACACACAGTGGCCAACCGCGCCACAGTGCACTCAAATGCAAATTGCTGTGCTGTGCACCTGAAACCAACAGTGCTGTGTGTCTGTCACATCTCAGTGAAAAACACACTCAGGGGACAAGCTGGCGTGTGCCCTGTCGCTCAGCACGACCAGAGTCGGAAAGAGTGGATGACTCACTCAGGGCCTCATTCTTAGGAGCAAGTAATTAGAAAAATCTTTAAAGCGTCATCGAGGTGCTCACAACCCAGTAGCGTGTGGCTGGGAACCGAGTCTCAGGGACAGGGAGGCGCTGCAGCCACAGGGCCCTGGGGGCCTAAACAGGGACAAATGCCACCAGCTCGGGGCCACCTTTCAGGAGTGAAGTGCAGAGCGGTGGGGGCGCCAGTCTCCCGGGAGGGACCCCACCCCTGCTTCTGCCCCCAGACAGGGAGTCCACGGGGACTTCGGCTCTGGACTCTGATTGGCTCCCGGCCCCACCCTGGGCCTGCCTCCCGCCCCGGCGCCCCCAGGCCTGCATGGGGCTGGGATGTTCTGGGTCCCGATACTCCTTCTGGGTTTCAAAGTGAGATCCAGACTCCTTTGCCTGTCGGAAATGAGTATTTCAGATGGTGACCGCGTGCACAGCGCCACACGGACACCTCCACGGGCCAATCCCCTCCTGCCTTTGAGGAACCCGCACAGCTGGAAAGTAGAGGCATGTGCACCACCATGCGACCAAGTGCCAGCCATGCCCAGCACGTGACGATCTGCCACTGAGGACACGGCAGTGGGGGTATGAGGCGCATGGAGGAGGCAGGGAGTGTCCCCCAGCCCCAGTCTGAGCGGCATCTGGGAAGGAGGGAGGGTGGGGCTCCGCCGGGGAAATCTGGCAGGTGTGGGGAGCAAACAGCAGGAGCAGGGGAACACAGTCACCGTGGAGGGCAGGGCTGCGTGCGTGACCGTGGCCCTGCTGTGACGGGGAGCAGGTACACAGGACTGACGAGGAAAGAGACACAGGGGACAGGTGCAGCCACGGTCGGGGGCAGAGGCAGGACCACCGGCTGACGGCGGTGCCAGGGACAGGCTTCCGGGTGCCTGGGGCTGACGCCTTGACGTCCCCTCGGTCTGTCTCGCTGACCCTCACGACCAGCCTAGGCAGTGTGGCGCCCTCAACCTGGAACTCGGGGACAAAGTGACTTCCTCAAATTCATCTGCTCCCACCCTGAGCAGCCGGGGCTCAGAGCCACACCGTCTGGCCCCAAAGGTCATGCCTCTCTGGGATAAACATGAAGAGGAAATAGTGTTTGGGAGACTTTCCGAAAAATCAGTGAGGACCAAGACGAAGGAGGGAAAAAAATGTTGCCAAATTTTCCATGTTGACCGGAACAGAGAAATCGCGGCTGGAAACTTATTTCTAGGTTTCTAACATGTTTATACGCAGAGAAGTTGTAGAAACTGACCAAAGGGGAAGGAAATGAGTCTCATTTCAGGCGCACAGACTGCGACAAGCCTGAGGTGCTGTGTGACCGGAGACAACTGACGTGACTTCAGGTCCGCGGCAGCCACAGACGAGTCTTTTCTCAAGTTCATCTCTGGGGCTCTGTCTCCTCAGATGGACAAAAGCGAAGGTTAGAGATTTGTAAAGGGTTAGTGTGGCGGGTAGAGACACACACAGCACGTCACTCCTGCAGGGGCTGGCACAGGGGCACAGCTGGTGGGGCGGCGACGGTGGCCATGGTGGTGGTGGCGGCGATGATGGTGGAGGTGGCGGTGGTAGAGGAGGGGAGCTCCTCTTGCAGGGGAGCTCTGGCCAGAGGTGCAAGGAGCTATGCACAGAGGGAATGTCACTAAGCTCAGATGTGTGCCCCGCAGCCCTGCCGGCCTGTGCTTACCCTTAGGCAACAGGGAACAAACTGAAAGCAGAGAAGCCACAGAAGGAAGTGGCCGTCAGAACGACAGGCCAGTCAACAATGGACGCGGCATTCCTGAGGCAGGCACGGAGGCAGGTGCGGGGAGCTGGGGACGGGGCACTGGCCTCCGCCTGTCGTCGCGGCGGCCTGCGGTGCCCGCGGGAGACGGCCGTTCGGGGAGGGCGTCCGGTGGAGGCCCCAGTGCGGGGTTGGTGAGAACACGGAGGACGCGGGAGAACACGGTCGCAGAAAACCGGATTTCAAATCGTCGGCCGTGAGACTCAGGGAAAGAGAGCGCCACGAACACAAGTCGCACTTTGTTGGTTCAGCCCTGGGCGTCGGCGGGCGCCCCGTGGCGCACGCCAAGAGGGCAGTGTCAGCCCCGGGGCGGGCGCCCCCGTGGCGCACGCCCCGGGCGCCCCGTGGCTGACACTGCCCTCTTGGAGGGTCCCACCTTGGACCCCGAAGCTCTGGTTTCCTGACTGGAGGCTTTTTCTGCTTGCCCTTCAGGTGGGACCCGGAAGGACAGAGGTGTTATCGGACTCCTCAGCCAACGTGCGGACACGACTCGCCACCGCCCCCACGGGAACGGGGGTCAGCACGTCACACTGGCATCGCCCTCCCGGCCCCGTCGGGGGGGCTGCCTTCGCCAGGCAGACCACCACCCTGGCTCGCCTGGAGCAGAAGCACTTTCTGAGATGTGGCGGCTTCGGCACCGAAACCAGGACAGTCCCGGGAAGACCGGGAAGGTCGGTCACCTGGGTCTGGCAGGAATGCCAGCGCCGAGAACTGGGCGCCGGAGTCCCGCTCAGTGGGCTGGAGCACACCACGGCGCCTCGTCACGGAGCGCGACTCCGGGGCTGCAGGGCCCGGGGTGAGGAGGAGGGCAGAACGGCCGTGCACAGGGCCCCCTCCCGTGGGCGCAGGAGGAGAAAGGCCTCGCTCTCGGGGACACCCAAAGGGAAGCTCAGGCCGAGGGCGTGAAGGCGCAGGGAGACGGTTTTGCCAGGACAGGACGACTCTGGACGTGCCGGCCGCCTCGTTGCGGGCTCAGTGCCCCCCTCCTGTGGCCGTCCCTCCCTCCCAGATGTGCAGCGGGGCTGCGGCGGCCACCGGAGAGCAGGCCACTGCTCGGTGAGCGGGGGGCAGAGGGTTAGCCGAGCAGGGCCGCCCGACCCGGGACGAGGAGAGCTGGGGCTGGCCAGGGCGTCCCAGAGGGTTTGGTGCCGAGGAAGGCAGCGTGAGAGAGTGTCCTGAAGGGCCTTCAAGCGACACGAGGAGAGTGGGGAGCTGCCTCTCCCTCACACCTCAACCGGAACGGGCCACTGGGGCCAGCGGCGGACTGGGCCGGGCCAACATACCTTCCTGTTCCCAGGCTTGGTCTCCGACAGGGTGGAGGAGGAGGCTCGTCCAAACGCTGTGTGGGCCTCATGAAAATCACCGTCCCTTTACAAAATGCCATCTGAGGCCCCAAATGGACACGCCTCACCCTGACCGCGCAGCCGGACACAGCCTTGTCCTCACCAAAGTTTGTAACTGCAGGTGGGGAGTGGATGAAGCCATGCTCACCGTGTGGCCAGGGAGGGGACGCAGCAAAATGAAGGGGCGGGGGCCTGGGGCGCAGGGGCGAGAGGAAGGCCATCCTGTCTCCGTGGGCTGGATGTTGAGGGGCTCGCTCATGTGGTGGCAGAGCTTCCAAGGACAGTGGAAGGACCCGTGACAGTCTCGCTCAGGTTCACCGCCCGGGCCATGACGCCGCTCGGCAGCTCCTGCGACCCTTGTCCCAGGGTTCCCAGAACCTGTACGGGGGTGGGCGGGGTGGGGGGTCACAGCCCCACAGAGCTTGGGAGGCTGGAGCCCCGGTATCGCCACCCGACGAGATTGTGCCCGTCAGTAAAAGAGCCCTGGGCGGCCCTGAAATGAACGCCCAGCGGAAGAGGCTTTGCTGGGACTGAAAGATACCCCAGGCCCTCACCGAGGGCCCAACTGATCTCACTAGGACAGATGGAGCGCAGTGACAGAAAGGCCCGTTCACCGGTTCTGCCAGATCCAGAGCTCAAGGGGCACTGGGCCCACTCAGCTGGGCGCTGGGCCTCAGGCCACCTCAGAGCCAGGGGGCGAGGCCTCCATCTCGGATCGAACAGAGGACGTCGGGACGCCCGCTGGGCAGCTGCTGTCTCAGAAGTGCATGTGGGAGGGTACGTGCAAACCGTTCCTGCCATCGTCACGGAATCTGAAAGGGCTCAGATCCACTCTCGAGACCAAAGGAGGCCGACCGAAGGAGGCCGACCGACTTCACTGCGCTTTCGTTTAAGGACACACACAAGACCGGTTTTTATTTGGCGAGAATATCTGTTCATCTGCCAGAGAGAAATCTGAAAGCCACACAGCCCTTAGAGTTGGAACCTCCAGCCGAACGATGTCGCTGATAGGGAAACCCACAGAGAAGCGGCGCAGCCTCCGCCCGCAAGCCCGTGAAGACACTGCTGCCTGCAGGTGCGGGCCGGGCAGGGGGCCCGGCCTCTCTGATTGACCCCGCCCTCCGTGACCCAGATTCAGCGGCGCCTTCGCTTTCGTTCTGCCTGATCCGGGCGGCCAGGCTGTTCACGAAGGTGCCACAGAGGGGAGTGGGCGAGGCTGTGATGCTGTGAGGGCCGCCATGGGCGCCCTGGGGACCTCTTGCTCGTGCTCACGAAGGCGGCTGCCAGGGCAGTGTGGGGAGGGAAGGGGCCTGCCCCCCTGGGCCCCTTCAGGTGGAAAAAGCACAGCAGCAGGCGTACCCCTCGGGAGACTGACCTGCATTGGGTCGAGGTCGTCTGCACCTCCAGGAGGCTCCGTTGCACCCTGTGCGTCGAATCGCCTCTCCCGGGGTGAGGTGTGGGTTCGGCTGAGTGGGCCTGGGATGCAGACCGAGACCCTGCGTGGGACTGCCCTGCACTTGGGCAGAACGGTCTAGAGGCCTCAGCTAAGTGCACGCCATTTCTAGCCCCTTAAGCTCACCTCCTCCTGCCCCAGGAACGGCAGAGGCTCGGGTGCAGCGAGTCGGAGAGGAGAGCACAGGGCCCGGTGGGGCCGAGCTCCAGTCCCTCGGAAAGGTGCCAAACGGACCCTCAGCAGAGGCTGCGAGGGGCCGCCCCCCACAGTGCTCAGGGACCCGGTTCCCCCAGCTACGGGCGGCCTGGCTCTGCGTCTGTGCACATGCTGGACGAGGTGCCACGGAGCCCAGGGTCCCAGTTGTGGCGGCGGCCCCGCCCCCAGCCCCTGCTGGTGATTTTCGCGCCGCTCCCGGCCTGTGACCGGTACCCTCTTCCTGCTTCCTCGTTCGGTTTCCTCTTGCTCCCTGCACCCCACTCCCCACTCTCTCCCCAGGACAGAAAAGTAGGAGGACGGAAGAGGGGCGTGTTCTGAACCCCGACCCTCTCTGATGAAGGACCGTGCACCGGGCCCCGCCCTGGAAGCCCAGCCCATGTCGGAGCACACGGCGACCTCGAAGCCGCTGTTCTTGGGGAGACGGGCTCCAGACGCACTTGCATCGAGGTGGGTCATCTGCGCTTTAAGACGCGAGCCCTGACCGAGGAAACCCCCTCCGGCCTGTCTCTGGCCGATGTCCGGCGCCCGGCCCTGCCTCCGGCCTGCGGGGCCTCTGCACCCAGAGGTTCAGACACCAGGCCCGGCTCGCCGCTGCCTTCAGTGGCCCCAGGCGAAGCGCCCTGGGCTGCCCTGCCTGTACTTTGGGGTTTGCGCCCCAACCTCGGAGGGCAGTGGCCCTGCCTGGCCCGCAGCGCTGGATTCCAGCGCTCGCCCTTCCTGCCCCGCCCCTTCCAGGACGGCCCGGCCCTGCGCTGGGAAACCCAGCGGGTCAGACCAGCACCTAAAATAGGACCCGGCACACCTGTCCGCGCACCTGAGGCCTCCCCTGGGAGCGACTCCCGAGGGCCTGGGCAGGGGCTTCGGGTGGCTATTTCGGCCGCAGGCTCTCTGCTTCTGCTCGCTTCCTCTTTCTCCGTTTGTCTCGCAGGCTTTGTATGACAGAGAAGAGGCCACCGGGCCAGGGAGGCTGGAGCTCATGTTTGCACTCGGACTCAGAGAAGACTCAAGCGGGACTAAAATAGACGCCTGCGCTACGACCTCGTGTAAACACAAATGGCGTCTTAAACGGTGTGAACACACTAACCCACAGCACAGTGAAACTAATCACCAATTAACACTTTCACTCGGGAGAAGGTGTTATCACCGCAGCTCCTTCCCGTGAATCACAGTGCTGTGCACTGAGCCGGGCTTCGAAGCCATCCCACCTGGGTGTGTGCCCTGCCCTGCTCACCTCGGCCACGCCTGTCCCCTCACACGGCCGGTCACCTGTCCGAGTCTCGTGCACACCGAGACCCACCCGAAGCCCCAGCCCCGCAGGGGTGCCCACCGACAGCCAGTCCCCCTAATGTGTCCCTCGCACCCACCTGGGCCTTCTGACAGAGCTCGAGGGACGGCACAGCTGAGGTCTCAAGTCCCGAGTGCACCCGACCCCACAGGCGCCACGGTGGTGGGCGTCCCTTCTCCCTTCCCACCTGTGGCCAACGTGGTCAGAGCCAGTGTGCGTCAGCCGGCATCTGACTCGGCCACACAGTCTGTGATCTTCTCGCCTCTGAAGCATAAAGTGGCGACAAAGCCAACTGAGGCGCAGCGTCCTCTAAATTCCGGGACCAAACGCAAACTCACCGTTTTCTCGGTCCACCAAGGAGAGCAGCCACCCAGTGGCCTCAGGCTCCCGAACTTCAGGTTCTGACCTCTCCAGATCTCTCTTCCCGGTGACGGCACCGTGGCCTCCTGCGTGCAGACCTGCGCTGCCCGGCCAGCCCCACGCGCGGGTCTCAGTGCTGTGCGCCCACACGCCGGGCCGCGTGGCAAACTGACTCACCACAAATTCGATTCTCCCAGCACCGACGTCGGCTCACAGAAAGGTGACACATAGGTGGAAGGAAGGAAGGCAAGCTTATGTAACTAGGTCACTTGATAATTTCAATTTTAGATGCAAATTTCTCGTGTGTGTTTCAGAATTATTCGTCGGTGGAGCGTTTTTGATTCTGTCTTCTTGGAAACCCCAAGTAAATTAGAAAGACGATGAAGCTCCGAAAAGTCCCAGACCATCTCTAGTACACGCAGCAGCTGACTCCCCACAGCTCTGTCCTTTAAAAGGGTAAAAAGCCCGAAACACTACCTGGCGTGGGCTTTCGCAGGGAAACATTTGAGGAGCAGAGAACACTGTAGGTCTGTGATCACCCAACAGGCGACAGAACCGGCTGCGGGGGAGACATGCCACCCCAGCGGTGTTGCGCTGCCCCTTTGGCAGCCCCCACAGCACCGGCCGCCCCCACGCAGGGCAGGAGAGGCCTGGCTGCCCACAGCGCCCAGGGAACTGTCTGTGTGCGTTTTGGGAACAGCTCTGTAATGTGAGGGGACCTAAGTCTGAAATAAGCCTGAGTCTGACTAGAAATGCCCCCGAGAAAAGCCCCAAGTCAGCCCGAAACCCCAGGGCGTGCAGGGTGAGGAGTGGGGGTGACTGGCCTCTGGTTGGCCTCCCGACCCCAAGGTCACTGAGCGCCGTGTAAGGCTGACTAAAAAGCACTTCTCGTCTTACTTTCTCACTTAACCCTGACAAGCAAGTCTGGAGAAGTGTCTGGCAGGTGGGCAGACGCTAGCACACAAAGCAGGGAAGTGGTCTGGCCAGGAGCGTCCGAGCCAGCGTGCCGGGGGCAGAGCGAGACCAGGGTCTCCCTCGGGCCCTGGGAGCCAACGCGGCCGTCCATTGGTTCCTGCAGCAAACCCTGGCAAAGACCCTACTGTGCGCTGGACACTCTGCTAGGCAAGAGGGCCCCGGGAGTGAAGGAGTCAGACGGGAGCCCTGGCCCAGGGACTCGCACTCCAGGAAGCTGGACCACAAACAAAAGGAATAAAAAGGTGCCGCGAGTGGCAGATGACGACGCCAGGGAGAAGCGGGGAGCGATGGGGACAGCTGAGGCGGTTTTAAGCCGCGTGAGCAGGGAAGGTGTCAGGACTCGGTGCCGTGCCCTGCGGTGCGAGTGAGCCACGCGCACTTCCAGAGGGGGGACATCTCAGGGTGGGTCCCCAGGCCAGAGTGGCTGCAGTGAGCCGGAGCAGGCGATGGGGCAGGGGTGAGGTCACGGGTGCCCGGGGCCAGGCGTGAGGCCTCGCCGTCCGCTGCGACTTTCCCTTCTCCTTGGGGTCAGCGGAAGCCAGAGGGAGGCTGAGTGACATCACTGCAGTTCCATTTCGAGGAGGCAACTCTGGTGGCCGAGTTCCAGCAGATCAGGAGGAACTCAGGTGGCCCTGGGAGGGCCGTCCTGCTGAGTCGTGCTGGGCTCTCCTGGAGATAAACCGAACTTGCTAACAGGCCAGACGGCGGGGGGGGGGGGTCTGGGAAAAGAGGCACAAACAGCGATTCGGAGGAGTCTGACTGAACCAGGGACAGAAGGGGCTCAGCAGAGACGTGGCCGTGAGGGCAGACAGGCCGATGTGGGGGGTGTCGGGAAGCGGGTTAGGAGCCTGAGAAAGGCAGGTGCAGCTTCCACACCACAGGTGTGAACACAAGGCCCGTGGGCTGGACCGGGCCGTCCACCTCGTTTTACCCGGCCTGGCACCTGGTTTCTACCCAGCAGCAGCGCCGAGCCCTCCCTCACCTGTTCAGGAGCAGCTACAGTCACACAGTCCTAAAGCTACATTCGGCCCTTTGAAGGGAAACTCGAGGCTGATGTGGCCCCCGGTGAAGAGCAGTCTGAGGCCCCTGTAACCTGCACAATGCCAAGGGTGGGGCCGTGGGGCCCAGGGCGGTGGGGGTGGGGCGAGCACTGGGCTGCAGACCTAGGCTTAGGGGTTGCCTGCTTGTGAGTGGACGACCTGGCCAAGGGGGTGGGCGTGGGCGGACAAGAGGTCTGGGGCTGAGGCCTGGGGTCTGAGTGCAGAGGTGTTTACGGAAGAGAAGCAGCAGCCACGTCCACGCGGCTGGCAGGCCGAGCAGCACGAAGCTGGAAAGCCTTGGCCGTTCGAGTCGGCGGCACGCAGGTCCCTGCAACCCTGACCCAGTTTCTGCTGAGTGGGCACGAGGGGGAAAACCCAAGCCGGCTGGAGGCAGACTGCAGACGGGGGAGGGGGGGTGTGAGGGGAGAGAAACAGGGGCAGCTACAGACAACGCTGGAGAGATGGGAGGGACCCCCTTGCCGAGGGAGGGGCCCAGTGCGGAGGCCGTGGTGGTGGGACCCCCAAGGGCCCAGCCGGGTCGAAGCAGGTGGCTGTCCTGCGGGTGCAGGCCAGCAGGCCGCAGCCAGGGCCATGACGGCCAGGACACAGGGGGGTAGTGCTCCTGCGGGGGTCCTGCGGGGGGCTCCGGCCCACTGCATGGTCAGAAGCCTGGTCCTCAGCCAGGAGTGGAGCGGGGACAGAGGCCTCAGAGCTTCGGCAGGACAGGAGGAGGCACGAGCCGCCGTCTGGTGCAGAGGCTAGGGACCCTGTCGCTGCCGGGGAGGCCAGGTGAGCCACCGGGGCTTTCGGGAGGGAGCAGCGGCCACCACTGTCTGCTGCCTTCTCTAGACACAGTGGGTTGTGTGGGTGCCACAGCGCAAGAGGAGGAAGGTGGAATCCGGCCAGAGCGCCCCTGCCATCGGCTGAGTAAGACCGAGAGGGCCAGTGGGCGGGGGTACACGAGGCCTGGCAGCACTGTCTTCTCTCCACTGCGGCCTGGAGACAGAGCCGGTGGAGGGCACTGCAGCCTGGCCCCTCGGGGCTGTGGCCGGTGCCCTGCCTGACCCACAGCAGCGTCCGGGACATTGGCATCCGGGACGTGCTGCGGTGGGGTCACCAGGGGCCGAGTACAATTCAACTACTGCTCAAACCCTTGCTTCCTTTCAAAGTCGATGATGGTTTCCAACACCCAAGACATTTCCCTATTATTTTGCTCATTTGTAGAGCAGTGAACTATTGGCCTGTGTCAGCTATAAAAGCAACACTTTTTCTTCCCACCATGACTTTTCTCGTGTCGATGCACCGGCACAGGCTGATCTTCGGCAGACAGAGGGGACCGGGGCCGCTGGGCTCTCAGGAGAGACAACGCGGTGAAGGCCTCGGCGGTCCGCGTCCCTGGGTAGTGGTGGGCTTGCCTGTCCCTCGGGTGAGGACAGCTTGCCAACAGGTGCTCTCGGGCAGCAAGTGGAGACCCAGGGGCCGGTCTGGGCTGCACCTGGGGAGACACCGCTCTGTGTAATGAGGTGACGCGTCCCGACCCTTCTCTGAGACACGGCCAGGACTCCGGTGTCCTAGGCCCTTGAGGAGAACACTGTCACACACATCAGATGTGTTAGAGGTGCTTCGAAGGAATTAAGAGCAGAGCTTGGCCTCAGAATCAGGCACCTGACGGGAGAGCAGAGGCGTGGCCGGGCCCCAAGAGTGACATCAGACACCGGCGGCATCAGCAAAGCCAGCGGCTGCCCGGGCTGCCGCTCTGCGGCACCGCCCTGGGTGTGCGTCTTACCCGACACTCAATGCCCTGCCGATTCTGTGAGGTGGGGAGGGGATCCTGAGTCCCCGTCAGTCCGCTGTCCGTGACTCCCCACCATCAGGAAGGGCCCGGTCGCCTGAGCTCAGGAGAAGAAAGCCCCTGGTGCAGGCACAGCCCCAGACGTCCCACTGCCCGCCGCCACCGGGGTGGCTCTGTTGGCCAGAAGGCTGAAGTTCTTCCCCACTCGGAGAGCCCGGTCTGTGCTGGCTCCTGCGGAATCTGGAGCGGCGGAGAGCGGGCCTATCTTACTCGGAATGACTTCCCGCGGGACCTGAAAGGGCGTCGGCTCAGTGGGAACAAGAAGACGAGCCGGCCCAAGGCGGCCATCGTTCTGGCCTTGGTCTGGCTTCGACCACCGGCTCCACGCCCCTGCTCGCTTCCCCTCGGGCCTGGGCTGAGCCCTCGCCCATGTCTCCACAGCGGGGTCAGGATCAGTTCTGGAACAAGCTCTCACCGAAGGTCAGGGAGCAACAAAAGGAAGCCACCCTCTATGCTGAGACCTAATTCACTGTTAGAAGTGACCGTTTGTGTCCCCAGAGCCGTCCTCAAGGACGCTCAGAGGACCTCTTTGCTCGGCTCCTGGGTGGTCAGCTGGCTGCCGTCCCACTGGAAGTGCAGCGGTCAGTCCCAGAGCCCAGGCCAGCGGGGCGTCAGGGCACAAGGACGCTGCCACGGCCCTGGCCCGGCACCCCCACGGTGGCCCTGATTCTTGGTGCCGAGGTCTGGTCCGGCCCGGGCCCATCAACTGGAGAGACCCGCCCCTTGGAAGACAGGTGGCCTCACCACCCCACCCAGACCAAGGGGGAGACACTCCCGTCGGCCTCACTGCCACACCCAGTCTGCACAGCTCTCCTGAGACTGGACTCGTGGGAGTCTCTGCCTCACACCCCCCCCATGTGGAGGGTCGTCTGGCTCACGGGCAAACCTGCCAGGGGGCGGCCAGGGGCGGCGTGGGGGGGCGGGGCATTCCGATGGGAGATCAAGTCTCCTCTTTAAAATTAGAACACACTCCAACTTTGACCCTTTGCATGAGGGTAAAAGTATCGATGCCACAATTGGAACGCCTGGTAAGGTGGCAACGCGTCATCCATTGAGTGCCTGCTGTATGCACACACCCTGCTCTTCATGTCTGTGCTCATCACGCTGCCCTGTGTGGCGTGTTCCTGTCTTTGATCAGTGGGGAGGGCGCAGGAGGCTCGGGACCGTCTGGCGCTTTGCCCCATTCCCTCCCCGCAAAAGTGTTAAGGATCGTGCCGAGTGTGCATATTCCTTCCCATCAGCCACACGGTCGCCTTGCATACCTTGAACTTGTTGCTGAAAAAATGAGCAACAGCTAAACAGATCTCCAGCTCAGAAGGA